TGGAGTTGGAGAAGGTTCAGATTATGGTAGCCAAAAATGATCAAGGGATTGGAACAACTCTCCTATAAGAATAGATTACAACACTTGGACATGAGAGAGTTGTATAAAAGTATGCATACTGTGGAAAAAGTGGATGGACAGAAGTCCCCATCCCCTCGCAATACTAGAGTGGGGGCCGTCCAATAAAGCTGCATGTTGGAAGATTTATGACAGATGAAAGAAAGTACTTCAGTTAAACTGGAAATTGTTCCCACAAGATGTAGTGATGTCCACTAAACTATTCACTTTTAAAAGAAAAGTTCATGGAGAATAAGGCTATTGGTTGCCTCCTCCGGTATTGGAGACAATATGGACCTGAATGTCAGTTGCTGGAAAGCACAAGTGTGGGGAGTGTAATGTTGTGCTCATGTCCTGCCTAGGGGAGAACAGTGAATCAAGGCCATCACAATCAGAGAACAGATGGGCCACAAGCAGAATAAAGAAGTTTATGTAGAACAGATAACAGCTGCACACTATGGGTCAGGTTATACATATTGTGAAATTAAGGAACTGAAATACATTGTAGAAGGCACTAGATAAGAGAGGTGAGAGAGGACAAGCCAAGTATTTGAGTGAATCCATGTTAAAGAATTCTTAAACATGAGCCACTCTGGCAGAGCTCCTCATGTGTATGCTTTACAGTGTTCCCGTCACTGTTAAATGCATCTTGCCACACTGTCCATGGTTCTCAAGTGTGCAGCAGACCTTTCTGCATACCCAGTTCCTGCTCTGAACTCAGCCTTGGTACGCATCTATTGACTTTATTCAGTTCCTGAGCTGTTGGTTGGCTGACCATTTAAAGAGGCTTTGGATTATAAGGGACATGACAAAGTTAAGAATCCATGTAAATCCTTACAGTTGTTTGTCCTCACTATGGTAAAAATAATTTGAGGGCTAATGGGAAGCAAGGAAATGCTCATTTTAGATGTGTTATCAGCACTAGATGTGACTCAGGCTGCCACATTAAATTGGAGTGAGAGCATGAAAGGCTGATTTTTTATATAAAAAATGAATGCAAATAGAGAAGGGTACCTTGTCTTTCCTCCCACCCTCCCCCACATACTTTGTTTCTTCAGGCATTTGTCGGCCTGGCCTAGAAGGTCTTCCTGAAGCAATGGAAAGTGGAGAAGTAAAATGAGGGAGGCTTAGGCTCCCTTCATCTGCATAATACTGCAGTATATTTTGTCCCTCATGCGAATGAAATAAGTGAAGTTTTTAATCAATGGGTTAAATACACCCCCGCCCCAGTGCAGCAGTCTGTGTCCTCAAATATATTGCCATTAATCAGCATGCCTCTTCTGAAACAAGACATCAAACGTAGCAGTACCTGCTACTGTAATACCTGCTTCATGTAAACATCAGTATGATAGGAAATGAAACACTTTCTGCTCATTGCTGCCAGTTGTGTTTCCTGTATGTAAACAAAAGCAATCAGTTAGCAGAATGGGAAATTGTTTATTTGCAGGATGCTTGCTGTATGAACGGAAGGAAATGTTCTTTTACAGACATCAGCTCATTGTGTTGAGGCTACATTGCTGGCAAAATTGATTTTAGAATAGTTTGAGGAAATTAGCTGCAAAATAGGTGCATCTATTTTGAGTCCTAAAAACTTCTTAACTCTTTACATTAGTGGTTGAAGTTGAAGCTTATAGATCTCATAACCATCCCTATTCATAGTTTGTGAACAGGGGATTTACACAGTTAAATGAATGTAATTTGAAACAGGAAGTTTGCTGTTTGTGCACTGCCTTTTTTAAATTTTGAAGCAAAGATGTACGACAATTTTAAATGCAATCTGAACAAATTAGCTAGGAAATATGTAGCCTGATAGTCTGTGGTTTAAAATTTTGTAGGATGCGTGATAACAGGACTCCAGTAAATCTCTGCACCCACCCTGCCTTGAAGTGAAATAAAAGGTTGTTTCCCCACTAGAACACTTTACTGCCACTGAGACCTTGCTTTTCATTGGCTGGAGGCTTCACACAGGACTTAATAGCCCACCATTACCTTTCCATGTAGCTATTTGCTTAGAATTAAGTCTATCCAAGGCAGTGTACTACAATATAAACATAAAATTGCAATAATGTAACATGATGTTTCAAACATTAAATTGCAGAAACAAACAAGCAAGAATACATTAAACTATAATTCAGGCAGTACAGAATAGTTTCCAAAGCCACAGCAATAAAAAGTATATACAATAAAATAACATGTGTTAAAAAGCACATGAAACAAGTGTTTGTCTTTTTGAACACAGCACATCCCTTGAGAGGGAGATCCATAAAGTGGAGACCACTGTACTTTGAAGTCTCTGTCTCTGAATCCCACCAATTTGACAGATCTCAAAAGTGAACCAGTGAGCAGTCCCTATATTCAGCAAAGGTCTCTCAACATTAAGGATCCCTCCTTGCAAGTTTTGCCCCTTTATTGTTTTGTCATGAGCATGATAGTTCTTTTTAGAAAGCTGCTTCTTAACAGATCTATGGACCCACCTGCACTATACATTTAAAACAGTATCATGCCACTTTAAACAGTTATGGCATCCCCCAAAGAATCCTGGGAACAGTCATTTGTTAAGGGTGCTGAGAGTTGTTAGGAGACCTCTGTTTCCATAAGCAACTGCAATTCTTCGAATCACTCTTCCCAGGGAACTCTAGGAATTGCTAGGTGTTATAATGGCTCATAATTTTGTATGTTTACAGATCTAGATTTGTCTTGTCAGGTTGGCAGGGAAGGATTTCTCTTATTTTGTGCATTCTTAGAAATGGATTCTCATTCGTGGATTTAATTTTAAAATGTATTCTCCCTTGCTGTTCCTTTATCAGCAGACATTTATTTAGAATTTCTGAAGTTCTAGTGGGCTAGTTTAGATGTGTTTCCAAACATTTGATTCTGTGAAGCAGATAAGTTGATGTCATGGTCTACTACTCTACCCCTTCATCTTTTGTGTTCTAATTATTAGATGGTACTCCAGTAGTCTTGTCTGGGGAGGATGTTGTAGTACAGATTATTCAGCACCTGTGTGCTTCCCAGTTAAGTCTTAGGTGCAATCATTTTATTTTACTTTATATTTAGCTGGATATTCTTGGGTCTGTAGTATGTACTGATATAATTTTATATGTAGTGAATGTATGTTACACAGTATCAATTCATTATGGAATATTCATTGTACTTTTATTCTCTGTCTGTAAAATAATTTTAATCACTAAGATAATTTAATGTAATAGTGTTTCCGAAAGAAGAAGAAACCTTTTTGTTACATAATATAAATGGAAACCCATTAAGTTGAAGACTATAATTTTAATTTGCTTCTACCTGTATACTCCCAAATCTTTCTATTCCAGATAGCCATTAAAAGAGCTATGTAACTAAAACAAATAGTGAGCATGCCACACATAATGCTAAGCCAAAACATGATTTAGCACAAACAACTAAATGTGCATATTTCCAGGCCAAAGGTTGCAGCTGTATTGCTCCTGCCTTAGTTCTGCTGCCACCGTGTCACCCGGGTCTAAGCCATGGTTTGCCTTAGCATTGTGTCTGAAGGCCATTTGGTATTCTTTCAAGCTGAGCAAGGTTTTGAATCTAGTAGCTTCCTCTGCTACTGACGCAAGAAGACTATGTACATTACGAAACTTCTTAGCTGCAGGTAGTTTCATATGTATACTTTTGTAGTACATAATGCTTCTGAAATGTTGGAGAAGACTAGCAATAAGTCTTTTTAGACATTTTCATAGGAAATGGACTGGGATTTAAAAATCAAAAGTTTGTATTCTCCTTCCCTGAATCATATATGATGCAACTGTCCCATTTTAAGCGAGATATCCTGGATTGACAGAAGCCGCCCTGGTTTCTGATCCCAATCCTGGATGTCCCATTCTGGCTTCCGTGCTCTGGCCCTGCCAGAACATGGGACCAAAAGATGGATGTTTTTTCATCTCTCCCTGTGGCGCGAGTCAGTTGGCTCACACCAGAGTGTAGGACCAAAAAACAGAAGCAAAGCCTTCCTTGCCCCTGTGCGTCACCACTCTTTTTTCTCCTTCCATTGTGGGACTTCTGGAAACTGGCTTCCGGAAGCACATCTGCGGAGGAGCTGGAGGCCGCAGTGACTTCTCCCAAGGCCATGCCAGCCACAGAGGAGGCAAAGACCGTGGAGGAGGAAGCCACAGAGGTGGCAGGCAGCGGCAAACGAGTGGGTGATGGGAACTGAATCTTGCCTAATCAGTCCAAACTATCACTGCTTTGTTAAATTGACTGGGCCAACACATTATCTCTGCATAAAATATTATATCATCATTATACCTCGTGCTGAAATCATGCAGAAAATACACTACTAAGAAAAGACAGCATATAGTCATAAATAACATTAGCTACAGAATGAGAAGCAAAGGATGTAGCTACAAATAACTGTAGTCAACTGAAGTCTCTTCAGTGTCAGCCTTCTTTACAGTATTTGGAAAATCATGGTTAAGCTCTCTTGTCACTAGCCACATACTGTAGTTTGAGCACTAAGCCAAGGTTTGGTTTAGTGTGATGTGCAAACCTGGTTTGTGTGAAATATAAGTGATTGGATATTTCTTTAAAGTTTGTTCTGTTGTATCCCACCCCTATGCTACTACTAAAAGATTATTGCAGGGCTCTCTAAAATGTGCATTTTGAACTACAAATAGCTGAATATATAAAGTTGCCTCAAGGCTACTAAACCCATGAGATGGCAGCTTGTCACAGGTAGAAGGGCCAATATTGCTGTACCCTGATATGGAAGATAATTGTCTATACCTTTTTATAATTTTGAATGTGTCATATTGGGACATAAATCAGTCCAAATGGATTTCTTCTTTGTTTAAATTGATTTCTTATGTATAGGAGATGGTTCTGATGCTGGTGGTGTTTTAGAGTAAGGCTCTACATTTTGAATAGACTATGTGTTAATTGATTTCTTTTTCCCTTTTGTTTGACAGGTATGTGGAGTAAAAGTGAATTGCTATCAACTTGATCTTGATCCGAAGTTATAAAATGCAGACCCAGAAATGAGTCCTACTGAACTACCTTCTGGAATGGCAACCTGAAAGATCTTTTGATACGCACAGACACTGTAACTCTTTCTTACCTCACTTCATAAATAATGGAAATGTCAGGCCAACAACACTGCTCTTGAAGATAAGGTTTTGCATTCCCTTCCCATTGCTTGGATATGAGTGATCACACACCACAGGAAGAAAAACACAAATCCAGCAGAACTTCCTTAAAGTTTAAGGAATCTGCAAGAATTATGCAGTCTGATGACTATTTTGCAAGAAAATTTAAGGCTCTAAATGGTAATATGGGCCCCCCTTCTTCTTTAAGCGCAACCAACAAAGGTGAAAGCAGCAACCCAGCCAATGGTACCCCAGCTATGCCTAAGATGGGTGTCCGAGCCAGAGTATCTGAATGGCCTCCTAAGAAAGATTGTACCAAGGAATTAAGCAAAGCTACATGGGAAAGTAGACCTCAAGTTAGTTATGACGGTGCTGGGTCAGCAAATGGTGACCAGAATGAGGGGCAGCAAAAAGAACCCCTTGATATAGAATTTGCAGAGGCAAAGTATGCATTAGGAGACATTTTTCTCCATTCACCACACAGAGGGCTTCACCCTATAAGACAAAGAAGCAACAGTGATGTTACAATCAGTGACATTGACACAGAGGATGTACTAGACCAGAATGCTGTTAATCCAAATACAGGAGCATCTCTCCATAGGGAATATGGAAGCACTTCATCAATTGACAGACAAGGTTTATCTGGTGAGAATTTTTTTGCAATGCTTCGAGGCTACAGGGTGGAAAACTTTGAGCATAAAACACACATGCCATTTGGATTTCCTGAATTTTTTCACTGCGATCCCACAATTTCTCCAAGTCTCCATGCTGCAGCACAGATATCCAGAGGAGAATTTGTAAGAATTTCTGGACTTGACTACATGGATAGTGCCCTGCTAATTGGCAGAGACCGGGACAAATCTTTCAAATGGAGATTGAAGTCAGAATCTGTAGAAACGTCACTCTTTAGAAAATTGCGGACTGCTAAAAGTGAACATGAAACTCTTAAATTCTCATCTGAACTAGAAGAAAGTAGACTTGATAAAAATGTTCATCCTTGGAATTGTCAGAAGTGTTTTGCACATTATGATGTCCAGAGCATTCTGTTTAACATTAATGAAGCAATGGTTACCAGAATTAATGTGGGGAAAAGAAAAAATATAACCACTGGGGCATCTGCTGCATCACAAACTTCAACAGTAGCCGGACAGCTTGGAAGCTGTGAATCTCCTATGGGGAGTAAAGAGGATCTCAATTCAAAAGAGAACTTAGATGCTGATGAAGGTGATGGGAAAAGTAATGACCTAGTATTGAGCTGTCCTTATTTCAGGAATGAAACTGGTGGGGAAGGTGATAGGCGGATTGCGCTCTCTAGGGCAAACTCAGCCTCTTTTTGTGCAGGAGATAGTTGTTCTTTTGAGTCTTCGCTAAGTTCACATTGCACGAATGCCGGTGTTTCGGTGCTGGAAGTACCCAGGGAGAATCAACCAATCCACAGGGAGAAAGTGAAACGTTATATCATCGAGCACATTGATCTTGGTGCATATTACTATAGAAAGTTTTTCTATGGAAAAGGTAAGCAATTTTTTCTGAAATATCTTACTCCCAAAGGTTTCAGAACATTTGCTGAACTTGTGGGTAGTGTTGTGAGATGTGAAAATATCTAATGTAAAACGAAGCTCTGCTTTTTTAATATGTGTCTTAGAGGGCATCATTATGGCCCTCCTTAAAGTATTGAAAGCCACAACCTACTTATTTAATATTAATGATTTATTATTGGGGTGGTGTTTCTCTGACTTTGGTGTCATGTTCTTACATATGATTTGACATCTTTAATGAAAACCATAATCTGGTCTCCTATTCTGAACGACAAGATTAAAGGAGTTAGGACTGTGAGAAATATTCTTTAATATCACACTGTCAGTGGTTGCAGCATTACAAGTACAAAAAACTGTCTTCCATCAAAATGCCATAAGTGATATGCTCTTATTCTCTAACTAGTATTTTATACAAATAAACCAGCTAATTTCATAAGTGCCTAATACATGTGAGGGTGATGTGATGAGTTTTAAACTCCATACTTTGTGCAAACAAGGGTTTAATATCACTACAGATACATATAAAAATACTCAAAATGCCGCGTTTTTACTTTATAAAGTGCATAAAGTGTGATTAACCCATGGTCTGGATCTGGCCCGCCAAGGCACAGGAAGTAGTTCCAGCACCTCCAACTTTATCTCTCAATCTGACCAGGAGATAGAGCTCTATCTGCTCTTTAAAGAACTAACTCTTCTCTAAAGATCTTTTCTAAAGGGCAGGGAGAGAGATTTTATCTTCAGTCTTGGTGCTAAGCAGCAGAACACTCAGATCAGAGAAAGAGTCTGGTGCTTGCTCTTAAATGGCAACATTTCCACCTACCCCAGCATTGGAATGGAGAGGGTTAAAATGTGTGCACGTGCATATCTGTCCCTGTGTATTTTGTGTGTGAGCATGTTTGTGGGCTGTGCGCCCACATATCTAAGGAATGTGTGTGCAGGGGCAGGGAGGGTCTGAGTGTGCTGTATGTGTAGTGTTTTTCTAGGAACGTGTGTGCACATTGACATGCATTGGCCATGTCAACCACTGGCATGTGGCCCTTGGAGGAATTGCTTTTGGGTAAAAAAAAGCATTAAACCATATTTGGTATAAAGCGTTCAGTGCATTTGACCATCTTCCATCTAGTTTTGGTACAATGAGTGTATTCCCCTGAGTGTATTCTTGTTGTTAAGAGTCATTCAGTAGTATGTTGTGCATGTGCATACACATGCTGTTTCTATGTTTCTGAGGATATTTATAAAAGTATTCAAACTATTTGCTCAAAGTTTAGGGGCCATTCTTACCAGTTTCATATTTACGAAAGCTGCAATGCAGAATTGTAATTGTCTAAAATATGTGTGTTAACGGGCTGCTGCTTTGAGAATTGGACAAAATCTGGGTTTTAAAACAAAGTGTGATAAAATTTAGGTATATAATAAATACCTGCCTCTACTTAGCTTTAAGTGGAAGCAGATATTTTTATTTATTATTAAATGTTTGTATGGTATGTATGGACTATGAAATAACTTTTAATGTTGATTCTTATTCAAGGTATGTGGTGTTAGGTGAAATACATTAAGAACATAATCCTTCTTCCTATGTGATGGACAACAGAATGTAGACAGAAACCCCATGGGAGATTGAAACATTCTGGGGTGCTCTGGAGAGAGGCTTATACAATGCTATAAGCCTCTCACAGAAAACTGAAGCTCTTTTGAACCTTGAAGGCCCAAGCCAGCCCATTGGAGACAGTCTCAGCATAGATGTTGAAGTCTTCCAACACTGCTGTAAAAGGGTTCCCCAACACCACAGCCAAGATTACCTCCATCAGCTCAGAAAGGGAGGTAGTACAGCCAGGTAGACAGTACACTAAAAGCACAGGAGGGTTTGGAAATAGCTGAAGGAATAACAGCAGGATTATTTAATGTTTTCTAGAAGTAAGTCCCATTGAGTTCAATGGCATTTACTCACAGCCTAAGAGAATTTGAGCTGTGTGAACTCGGAAGGACAAAAGGAATGCACCAGAAAATGATATATCAGTTAAGACTCATCAAACGAGGACAAGTTTGAGAAAGGTACTAAAGCAAGACTGTAAAGTAACTAGTAAATAATTATTATTAGTTTTAGCCATCTTTGCCCCATGCTTCAAGTAGATTTCCATGACAGCTCACAAAATTTCAAAATAAAATCTTTAATTAAAATGTGCAATCATAAGCTAAAAGCAACAATTCAGATTAGAAAATATAAAAATATAAAGGAGAGGAAACCATTTAAAATTCAAAAAATGGAAAAGTAAGGTTCTGTGAATACTCTTGAAGTTCTTAAGTTCAAAGAGGAAATGGGAATGAAATTTCCCACTCCTACTGCCAGTGAAGGCAAAGCTAGAAGGATAATATATTCAGATTATTTTTATCACTTTTTAAAAGAGGCATGTTATTAAACAAATAATTGCTTGATTTGGGGACTTGCATGTGTATAAATAGTCATATCTGGCAAAAAGAAAATTCTGTCTGTCCACCTTCCAAAAATGTGGAAATTCTTTATATTAGATCCATTGCGACTTAAACATTCTTTTTTAAAAAAAAAGTGTTGGAATATAATCTGTGTAAGCTAAAACCTACTATCTTAATAGAAACTATGTATATAGACTTGTCAGTTATGAAAATGTTTAAAGCACATTTGACTAGCCTATGAAAATAGTCACAATGACATTTACTGCACTGTCAGTTTAACTATCCTCTTAAGAACCGTTCTCATTCATGTATGTCATCTCTTACTTCCATATAAGTGAATAGCAGCTATTCACTTTGTGTAAGAAAAAAATAAAGTGGGCAAAACCTGCAGACAGTGGGTATCCCAACTTCTACCATAAGGAATCTAATAGGGGAAGCAATATTCAACCCCCCACCTCTGAACAGCTTCTTCTCTCCTTCTCTTTAGTCCCTTCCCAGGAATCTATTTTAGGAGGCTCTAGGCAATGTGGAGCTCCCATTCCGCCTGCACTTCTCCTTAACATGTAGGGTTTGAGGGAGTGGGAGGATTTGCATCCCTTGTTCTGTCTCACCCAAAAGTCTCAGTGTCCTCCCTCAGTCATTCAATCAGAGTAAGAAAAATAGGTTGCAGGAAGGAATAGAACTCGACATCTCTTACCCTTCTCATCAAACTTAAAAGGATGTTAGCTAGTTTTGAATGCGCATAGGTTTTGACCATATTTTGTGGAGGCTTGGAAGATGCAAATAATAATTTTGTTTAGCCAGAAGGCTAGATGCTACTCAGGCTCACCTTATTAATGGCATTACTATGATGATAAATATGAGTTGTAAAGAGCCCTGTGTGTAGAGAACTAAGCCTTGGTTTCAAAGAGCTATGAAGGTTGATGCAAGGGGCTTGTCATAGTCCAGTGGAATGTTTCACTTCTTTCTCCTTTGAATGCCATATCAGTACAGTGGTACCTCAGATTGCATATGCTTCAGATTACATAGGCTTCAGGTTACAGACTCCGCTAACCCAGAAATAGTATCTCGGGTTAAGAACTTTGCTTCAGGATGAGAACAGAAATTGTGCTCTGGCAGCAGTGGAAGACCCCATTAGCTAAAGTGGTGCTTCAGGTTAAGAACAGTTTCCGGTTAAGAACGGACCTCCGGAACGAATTAAGTGCTTAACCCGAGGTACCACTGTGCATTTCTTGGCACTGTCTCAGTTTTAAAGGCAAGGTGCATGTATGACTTGTTGGACTTCTATTCAAGAAAAACAGACAGTCCCCTTCGTCAAATTTGTGAAGCATTTTGCTGAGTTGTATATTTACCTGCAACTCAGGGAAACACTTTGTGCATCTGATGAAGAAGACTATAGTCCACAAAAGCTTATGCCATAATACATTTTTTAGTCTTTCAAGTGCCGTAGGGTGCTGAATAACAACTTAGTTACTAAAACACTTGCGTCTAAAAATATCAATATCAAAGGAACATTGGATAGCAATAAAATGTCTATTGACACGGAATATTTTTAAGAATCTGGCAGAGCAATCAAACCCCCACTTTGCATCAGATGGGGGTGGGTGGATAGGACTGGGCAGAAGTGTCCCTTCACCAGCTTTGTCATCCTGCCAATGGCCAGTGCTGGAGAGAGACACCAGCATCATTCTGCTGTTGTGGTGCTCCCCCTTTTTGTCCTCTAAATGTCTGAGTGGGGCATTGGCTCTAAGCTCTTCCCCAGCTCCAGGTTGCCCCACCGCACCAAACTTCTGCTGCTGGGGAAGAAGGGAAGTTTGGATTCCTTTCTAAACAAATATTGCAAACACAATCCAGCCAGAGTTAAGGACATTTAAATACCACTGACCTCAATGAGGATATTAATGATGTGCTTGATTTTCTTCCTTACTCTGCATCCACGGCCATAGGCAGTATGCTTCTGAATACCAGTTGCTGGAAACCGCAGGGGGCAGGGCAGAGTTCTGTTGTGCTCAGCTCTTGTTTTCAGGCTATCAATGGGTACCTCGTTGGCCACTGTGAGAACAAGCTGCTGGACTAGATGGGCCATGGGCATGATCCATCAGGGCAACTCACCTGCCAATCACATGTCAGTATTATGACATCAGAAGACTGATGGGAGGACTGTCCCACCTACCTGTCCGAATCCCTTGTTTGGTGTTCCCAAGCTTGGGAACTACAGTGCAAGCAGTGTTGCCAGCTCTCTGCTTTGCAAGCCTCTCTTTGCTGTGTGAGGTGGAAAGGAACAACATGGGGCAGCTTCAAAGAGCAGTGCTGGTAGGGAGAGTTGGCTTTCATTGGATTGAAACTGCTTCTTCCTCTTTGAGCAAGACACACTCCTCCTTACCATCACATGCTAGATGATTGGGAGCATGCCTTGCTCGAGCAAAGGAACTGTCAGGAGCTAGTGGGCCAGATGGGGAAATTTTAATTATTAATCTTAATTATAGTTAATTATTAATCTTAATTATAGTTTGGCACACAGTTTGGAAGTTCCCTACCCCCCACCTTAAATCAACAGGGTTTAAATATGCTTAACTTAGGTTGGATTATACTTTGTGTGTGCATTTAGAAATGTGAGTTTTCCTGCAAAAGAGAGTTAATTTACTTCTAATGTAGTTGAAATTACAGTTGCCTCATTTGGAAGGTGGGGAAATCTTGTTTTAAGAGAACCTGATCTGTGGATTGCCATGATTTCATGTGTGCCAAAATATACAAGATTAATTTCTAACAAAGTATTGCTCTGGCATCCCATATGCTGCAGAATGGGTCATAAACTAATATGTATGAAAAAATATTTTAGTTATTTGCATTTTTTAAAATGGCTGACAGTTTTCAGCTACAATACAGATCTATGCTGAACAGATGTCCTAACTTGCAATACACTTATTATGCTTTTAGGTTCGTTATCCTGCCTGCACATAAGACATAATAAAAGTGTAAACAAATAGGTCTGAGGGACTTTCCAATCTCAACCAATAACATTTATCTGACAAACGAACAGGAATTTGTCAGTCTAATATTTCATTATTGTCTTCTCCTCTTTATGTACAACAGAGCATCAAAACTACTTTGGAACAGATGAAAATTTAGGACCAGTAGCAGTCAGCATCAGAAGGGAGAAGTTTGAAGATGCAAAAGAGAAAGAAGGTTCACAGTTCAACTACCGTGTAGTGTTCAGAACAAGTGAGGTAGGGTTTCTGCCAGGTGTGTTGATAGGTAGTTAAAGGACTTGGGACACAGTCCTATGACACAAATTTGAATAAAATTAACATATGCTTATTTATATGCATAGAAGCAAATTTAAATAGACTTTCAGAGGGGTGAAATAAATGCTGGGGTTGCTGACAGGGCTTATTCTGAGCTATGGGGGTACCATGAGGATTTTCTGGGCAATGTATACTGTATTATGCCCTCTGTCCTATCTGTAATCTATTGGTAAGAGCAGGTGTTTGCTTGTATTTTTTCTCCTGTTCTGCCTTCCTTCAGTAATAGAGCCCAAGGTAGCATAAATGTGGTTTCCAAGCAATTTTCCACTGAGGCACTAACCAGCTTAGTTTCAGCAAATTAATGGCCAGACCATATCTTGGGACTTATGTGCTCAAACAACAACAACTAATCTCTGCTTCACACACACACATATGCTTACATGTCGTTTTAAAAACTCAGTGCCATCCACACATAACACCTGGCAACCCCAGATTAAAAGAATACCAGATGTGCAGGAAAATACTGGATGTACAAAGCAGATAACTTAGGAAAATTAGTCTATTTTAAAGATGGGAATATGATGCTAAAGCCTGGGACATAGCAGGTGCCCAAGAGTTTTTACTAGTGCTGCAGCCTGCCCTGCTGCCCTGTGAACAAAGTTTGCTTTAAAAAAAATAATTAGAAGAAGGGGAAAGGGTCAGAAGTCTGGGAACTAGTGCAAAATACTCTCACTTGGGCCCTGTGGATCACCCCTTGACAATGCCCCTGGTTTCCACACTGCTCCAGAAAGTACTGAAAGATATTCAAAGAGAAGTAATAAATTCACAGAGCTTTCATTCCATATATAAGAATTGATATCATGTGAGCTGACTTCTGCTCTGCTCACACAACTGAACTTCCCCTTCTCCCCCTCATACCTCACGAAATCTGCTCCAGAGGGTCCCCTATCCTCCAGAGCAGATTTGAGGGGTGCATGAGAGAAGAAGAGAAAGTGAAGTTCTGTTGAGAAGGCAGAATCCCATTTCTATTTCTGCATGTGGACATGTAGGCACTTGCAAGGAGAAACAGGCAATTACTGGCAGCAATTCCCATAAGCTGCAGTGGCTGGAGAAAGTGCCACTGCGGTTAAAACAAAACCACAGAATCATAAATAATTATCTGTTTCCTTCCTGTTTAGCAGTTTGGTGTAAATTAGATGTATACTACATCTTGGTTCAGCACACTAGATGGATGGGAGCTATGGGTGATTCCCCCTGTTTATTACTAAGAGTGAGTGATACATGCTTTTTGCTGCCTGACAGTCTGGTGATACTCTGTTCTGATAGAGAGTAAACTTATTTTGCCCAGTCTAGATTGTAAGAAATATAATATCCCGTGTAAGAAATATAGTCTTTAATTATTGTTATCAGTTGATATACTGCTTAAGGTCCTGATGACTTCTAAGTTGTTTGTAAGTTGTTTATAAAACTTTAAAACCAATTGTACAACATTGATAAAGTACAGAATAATTAAAGATATTTCATAATTAAAATATGCAATAAAACAATCACATTAAAACAGCACAGCAATTAAAACAAGAGAATCAGGTAAAGAAATCAAGATAATGTTTGTGTAAACAGGTCCATCTTCAAAATCTGGTGACATGCCAATATAGATTTCAGCAGGGAGTGCATTCCAGAATTCTGGTGCCACCAATGAAAAACTTCTCCCTGCATCACCAGCTGATCAACATTAGGCCATGTTCTTGTGTGCCCAGGTTTCAGAGTGATCTATGGAATTGGCAGGAGAAAGGGGGCTGCTCTGTCTCTGCTCCAGGGTTTGAGAGTAATTACATCTGAATATAGCCAGCAAAGAGTGAGATTAATTTGAGCAAATATACCCTAGTCTTTTAATACAGCACCTGTCTCTTACAGAATTCTGGAGAAAGTTAATGTTCAGAATGACACAGATGAAACACAAACATTTTTCTAGGGAAAGAAGTAACACACATATGTGTGTGTGAGAGAGATCTTGCCAGTATAATCCAGCAACTCCACCCACCCAGAATCTCTGTTTTTTCTTCCTATTTTATGCACTGTAACCCTGATTTCCATTATTATCTTGGTTCTGTTCATGGGGTTAACAGTGGGAAGTCCTTTGTGAAGTGCCACCTGTGAGGAAAGTCTATTCGTGTTTCCAAATCTGTGTTCCACTGGGTTTGACCTCAAGTTATTGTGCCTTTCTGTACTCTTACCATTTGTGTTCAAATGCCTTTTCAATTTTGTAATTGCTATTGGTTTTATGTCATTCTGTATTTCATTTTCAAGTTGTCTGATACCTCTAAAAACATCGGTAAATGCCGTTATAAAGTCCCACTAAATCAAAGGGATTTAGTCCCGTGTGTGTGTGTATAGGATTGCAGTAGTTTTACATTATTTTGTGGATGTGCTTATAGATAGATAGAATATGATGGCTCTTGTAGAATCAAAACATATTGGAGCCTTGCAGTTCTTATGTCAGAAATTCATTTTCCCTATTGAGGAATGAAGGAAATGGGTACACTTTTCAAAAATAAACAGATGGTGAGCCTGAGAGTGTAGAAGATAAGTATGGCTGCAGATGCTTGACAGAAGAGGATTATAAAAGTATAAGCAGGCTTGGGAAGAGAGTGGAAAGGAATAATGTTTTGAGAGGGGGAAGGGAGAAAGGGGATGTGACATAGAATTCCTCTTTAACAAAATACTTTAAATGTCTATTTTATTTTGTGTTGTTGGATGTTCTAGCTATTTCTTTTTTCAGTGTACTAACTATGTAAAGCACAGTAGGGTAATTTGTTGTAAAATAATGGCATGTTCAAGGTTTAAAAAACAATAGCATCTGAAGTCGTAGGAGGGATGCTAATTAAGCCTCAGGCACTTTCTTAGGCGGCTTTAACAAAACACATACCAAAATCTGGTTGTCCACCATTAATTTCAGTTATAGGTAGTTTTTCAGTTCAGTTTTCCTTCTCTTGTTAATTAATCATGGGAATGGCTGTGTATGACATTTGTGATAAATCTTTGTAAAAAGTTTCTCAGATCTTACATTGGCTAGCATACACAGAATTAAAGGATGCATTTTGCCATATAGTTTGCTGGTGCAGTTTATGAAGTTTATATAAAACCTTCTTGGGGGCTGGAAACTGAGCCCAAAGTGATAGTTTCATGCTAACCTCCAAGTGCTATTGCTGAAAATATGCTGCTTGTGAACATGTTTCAATAGACACCTGATTCTGACTGTTACCCCTTCTGCTTATTTTATTCTTTTCAATGTGTTTTTGAAGTTTTGCTAATTGATGTTGCCCAGCACCACAGTCAATGAAGCATAAGTGTAGCCATGTTCAAGCATTATTGCTCAAGCTAGTGTAGGTTCCCCAACCTAGCACCATGTGCCGGATGAATGCATTTAGAATGCTCTCCACCATCCTTGATAGTGCAGTTCTATATAAGTTCAGTCAAATGCACTTAATCCCTTGTCAAACCTTCCCATTCAGCGTAGCAAGGTTGGGGATAAGGCTAGCATGCATGTTCCTACTTCTCCCTACGCAGGTTCAGGCAGTAACAGCTTAATAGAGTTTGTATTTTCCTTTTCCTTGCTGAAGATTGTGTTACAATGATAAACATTTAGTAAGACTTATACTCTTGCTGTAGCTTACCACGTTGAGGGGAGCCATTTTAGAAGATGCTATTCCATCTACTGCTAGACATGGCACAGCACGCGGTTTACCTCTTAAAGAAGTATTGGAATATGTAATACCAGAACTGAGCATTCAGTGCCTACGGCAAGCTTCCAACTCACCCAAAGTTTCTGAGCAGCTGCTTAAACTTGACGAACAAGGGGTAGGTATTGCATGCCTTGCCTGAACTTGCGTGCCTGTGAGTTGTCTTATTGCAGTGTTTTGTTGTCATAAATACAACTGAATTTGATCTGACCTGTCTGTGGAATTGCAGTTAACTTACGATAAGTGAAGGAGATTTTTAAGGAACTTTAACAAAAGGGGACTTTCTGTGTATTTATATTACAGTAAGATAATTCTGTAGGTTTTTTGGGTTTTTTACATGTTGGCTTATTTATATACTGCTTCAGATAAAAGTGGTTCACCTAAAACAATAAATATACAAAATGAACATTTACACATACTAATCACAAGCACAAATGGCTGTACTTTCCATGGAGGTAAAATACAGTTTAGTAAGCCATTTTTGGTAAACACCCAATATTAGAAAGCTGCACATTGTATTAAAGGGAAAATCATTGGTTTGCCAATCTTTCACCTTTTCAGATTTTCCTTTTCCTAATTATAATTAGCACACCTTATTCGCAGTGGCAGTCTTCTTACTTTATGTGGAATATATGATAGATCAAACAGCTGAAATTCTAATTGGGACTATTTAACAAGTTAACACTGCATGAGCAATGAAATGAACATATACTTTAAATTCAGAGTGAATAATGGTGAGATTAATTGGTTTGATAAGGCAGACACTGTTCTGCAAGATTATAAAAGGCATAATTGATCATTTTATATAGAAATGCATATATAGATACAGAAAAAAGAGCATCATTTTAGTCAGCCTTATACAAATATGATGAATAAGGTAAATATCCGGCTTCTTCCAAGGAACTCAGGACACCATATATGAGGATGTCTCATTTTATTCTCATGTCTTGACTCCAAGGTGACCTTGGACCTGTCAACCAACATTTGAGGTTTTTTCTTACAATCAGCAATATATAATTTTTTTGAAACAAATTAATAAATAATAAACCAATCCGGGGTTTTTGAGCTGGGATTTGTCCCCTGGATTCCTCATTCCATAGAGCAATATTCTTTATACAGCACACCTCATTGATTCAATGACATACATTTTTTATTCTGTAGCCAGAGAATGTATTTTGGCCAAATAAGTATTTTTTAGTGTGTGTGATTATGAGCCTTGAGCATGGCTGGATATCTGAAAGCAGTACAGGAAGACTGCTGCTTTCTGTCACTTGGTTAATTTTTAATAGGAAGAGGAAATGCTAATAGAATGGATGTAGGAACACTGGATTCATCCTATTTTGATACTACTAGAAGTTTTTAATAAAGTTGAAAATAGAAGAGATCAAATCAATTGCTATGGTGAAAATAATCACTATTTGTTACAATCAATTGGCAATGCATGCTTACATTATAGATGCTTTAGTTCACCTGCAATTATTGTCAGAAATAAGCAGGCTGATTCTGTCAACAGTAGTTACAATCTAAAAGGGAACTTGTATAAACTTCACCCCCACCTCCACCAAAATCCTTCACATAATTGGGAAAATAGAGAAAATGGCTGGTATTATTGCAAAGAGGAGGAGAGTCCATTGAACTTCAGGTATCTGAAATTTAAGTTAGAAAAAAACAGTATTTTTTTCCTAATGCAAGAGTAACTAATTTGTGTGGTCTTTTTGGGTTGAATATTCCAGAGTTTTTAGTACTCACATCTTCCATATATGGTGCTTTATGCTTACACTTCATATTCTTTACAGACAACCACTTACGAAAGACAAATGGGGAATTCATTCACCCAGAGCAGCAGAAGCTGATGTTCCTGCTTATGCAGGCAATATCTTAAATTAGCCCAAATGCATTTGCACTGGGATCAACATAAGGTGTCCCATTTTGCTGGATGATGTAGACAGTACTATAGTATACAAAGCAATCCTAAAATCACATTTCACTTCAGAGATTATCTCAATAGGTATAACATGTATTTTGGCCTCTGAAAAGAAAAGAAAACCTTAGAGAGAATGAAGATACTCAGCTGCAAATGATCCAATGATTAATACTGCACAGGGGCTTTGGGAAGGCATGATTTATCCATCACAAGTAGAAGAAAAGAAGTAAAGTTCAGTTAGTGTGCCAGAATTGACATTAGCTGCTGTTCTGGGGAAGTTCAAATATGTCGATCCTAAACTGAAAAATGCTTACTAGGGTTACAAAAATATATCTGTCAGGCCCTGTTTTAGAGACTTTTTCTGTTCTGACTAGTTTTTTCCTAATTACAGCTGAGTTTTCAGCACAAGATTGGGATCCTGTATTGCAAAGCAGGCCAAAGCACTGAGGAGGAGATGTATAACAATGAGACCGCAGGACCGGCTTTTGACGAATTCCTTGATCTCCTAGGTCAGAGAGTATGGCTGAAAGGTTTCAATAAATACCGAGCTCAGCTAGACAATAAAAGTAAGTTTTAATAATAAATTGTAATAAACACTAAAAGTATAAAAAATAAGAGAATCTGTTATGCCAAAGTGCTTTCCTTCTGTAAATGCATATTACACAGAGATCACAGAGACAGCATCTACACTGCATTTCTTTCTTCCCTTCCAGTCTGAGCACAGTCACCCTACAGTGGGGCCAGACGGTGTTCCAGGCCTGCATGCTGATGCTTAGGGCCAGAGTCATAGCAACAGATGAGTTTTATCTTTGTGCAGTTGACTACATTCCAACCATGCAGAGCTGTCCAGACACACCCACACTGACACCCATCTCCATCCTCCATCCAGGCAAGCAGGAGGCATCATTACAATTGAAGGACATACTACAGACAGGCAAAGATGAGGGCATGGAGTAGGACTAGTGAGGGATGTAGCCTGAAGTGGTAGAGAGGCATTCCGAAGAGGCATGAGGACTGGACAGAGGGGCCTGGAGGGGCCACATTTGGGCCTGAGGTTCCTCATCCTTGCTCTAGGGAGACCAGACCCAGCAGCTGGTTTCCTTGGCGATGAAAACAAGGGGCTACGTAAGTGGCTGTGTTTTGCGTGCTCCGTCTTAGTGGTTGTGCTGCACCCATTGAATGGCATGCAACTTTCACTTGCCACAGGAAATAGTTGAATGCCAAATTACAATAGGGACATATGGCTTGGAAAGGGCTTCTGAAACTATTTGGAATTTATATGGAACTGTCATATTTGCTGGATGGTTTTTTTTGCGGCCCAGTGGTAGGGAGGAGAGATGTTTATATTATACTTGAATTTCTGCATTGTCTTCATTGACCCACTTGTGGACTTTAATTTCAGCCGATTCAACTGGAACACATTCCCTTTATACTACCTACAAAGATTACGAAATAATGTTTCATGTGTCAACTATGCTTCCATATATGCCCAGTAACAGGCAACAGGTATGTCTCAAGTCAGCTTTAGGGAATCATGCATGATGTCTTCTCTGAGAAGTTGTTTGTAGAATGTATTTTTTTTGTTGAAATGTTTGTTATTAATACTCAGTAAAAATTATTGTTATTATTTTACCTTGAGGATTGCATATTGCTTACGGATTAAAATGCTTAGTTTTATTACTTCTGCTTTGACCCAAAAGTTTATTCTGTTAACTATTTTGTTTTCTATCTGGTCTTTCCATTTTTTAAAAAAGAGAGAATAAATTATTTCACTGAATTGCCAGTATTCAGTGATACAGATACTTCTGGAAACTTAAATACTTCCTCTCCTACCAAAACAAACTGAATCCAGCCTAATTTTTAATAATGTGCGTTTAAAAGATGCAAGTATATGTAATTTGATTTTTCATGGTGTAAGTTTTGGTATTCTAATAACTTAACATACTGCTTGTCTGTTATGCACATAGATAATAGAGCATTATATAGCAAACACAGTTAATGTTTGAACATGTACCATTCTGTTCTAGTTTAGAATATCTTGCAGCATTAAGGATGGCTAAAAATGACATTGCATCAAAGGTTTTGTAGAATCCTAATGGTTGCAATCTTGAATGATTTGAAGTTAATGGGCTTTTGCCATTGGCTTGAATTGAATTATGATTTTCTTTTTTTGTTTCTGTAAGGTTAACCCTGTCTTTGCCTGTACTAATTGATATAAATAATACCTTTGGCATAAGTTTGCTTTATAAATGGGGTTTAAAAGAAATAGATATTTTAAAATGTATAATATATTCCCACTTCTATGAATTTAATGTGTGAATAAAGAAGCCATTCACAAATGAGATTACTGCTCAGAGTGTAACATTCTGCAAGCCAGTGTGTGTAGATAAAAGAAGCAACAACAGTTCCTTGTATATCTGCACAAAGAATAAGGATTTCTGCAAACATATTTTCAGACTTATTGACAGCTGTATAAAAGTTATTTCCTTATCTGTGGTGAATTTGTTTTGGGAGAGTAGCTAAAATTGTAGTAGTTAGGTTGTATGATATTATATTTATGCCTAAAGTGAGCAAGATGAGAATGTGGCAGAACTTGCAATTCTGGAGTTCTAAAAGAATAGCTTCGTAGATGTATAAAAATTAAAATAGTTTTATAATAATTGGCAAATCACTTTCCTAGAAGTGGGTAGGTGTAACCAGCTGTCTTGTTTACCAAATTCACCAAACTATCAGAACTTTATAGCTTGTTTTGTACTGTTTTAACTCAGGTGTACTTTCTATTGTTTTCAATGGGAACTATTCCCAAGGCAAGTGCCCAGAGGATAGAATGAAGCCTTAGTTGGATAAAGAGAAAGTTTTAATAGAACTGCACAGCTCTATCTAATGAGAAAATATTGTAGCAACACCTTTTAAAATGGAGCTAGAAATTATACGTGAAAGGCATATAGGAAACGGCTTTAGAATACATCTACCTCAGTGCTGTCTACACTAACCAGCAACAGAAACTAGGGTTTCTGACAGGGGACATTTCCAGCCCTGCAGCTAGAAATGCCAGGAACGGAACTTGGGACCTTCTGCATACAAAGCAAATGCTCTACCAGTGAGCTGTGTCCCTTCCACTATACATCTTCCATATTTGGTCTACCTATGGTTTTTGGGACCATTTTGACCATTTATGATGATACAGAAAAAATTCCATCTATCATATGAAGTTAATTAAATTTCCATGTAATTTAGAAACACTTAAAATTTATTTGTGATCCAGTGCACATGCCCAAGGTGATTAAAGTGATAGGCTAACATATCAAAGTTGTGAACAAGGAGCTTACTGCATTTATTTGCAAATATTTTATTCCCTCCAATATGACACAAAAGACAGTATACACTGGAATAACAAAATGTTTGAGAAACTGTAATCTATATGTGGATGGGTTTAAATTGCAAAGTTTAACTATTGTAGAAAATACTTCTACAAAAGATATACTCAATGTTGATTTCAAATATTTTTGTTCCTAATTGCAGGCAATGACAATATATTAAACCCTTACTTGATGTTGAATGTTAGTCTTTGTCTCGGTTTTACCTAAACTGTGAGCATAGGAAATAACCTTTTACCTTGATCCACTTCTTCCAGAATTGTATGGCGTTTGTCACCCTCACTATTGTGTTTGCTTGAGCCACTCATTTCACTCTTCAGTTTTCTTACCTTTGCTTATATCTTTACCTAAATATTCCCTAATGTGTCTTCCTCTCTAGACAAACTAAAGCCTGTTCTTGGTTTATCCTCAAAATTTTCCAACCTAATTCCATTATTTCCCCAGTAACAATCACACCCTTCCACAATGTTTTAGTAAACACTCATCAGTCTTTGTACCTTGGACAGTCTTGGTATATTTAGCAGTAATATCATAGTATGTTCTATGGATTTCTTTGGATAAAATAATGTGGAAGTTTTCCATATTTAGGTAACATTGGCCTCATTTGCACTTATCACTAAGCCGAACTATGGCTTAATTTGAACAAAACAGTGTGCTGGTGCACATAGTGAAAATTGTGGCTGCTTAGCTCCTTCCCTGCTGTTTCACTACCAATAGGTAAACCATGGTTTGACTTAGCAAACTTGGGCTTACGGTTTGTCTCCCCCAAATCAAACCAAGATCAGTAAGCTGAGAACAAACTTTGGCTACACAGTGTGGTTTGTTTGGAGTGAGATGAACCATGAGCTCTAGTTCATAAGGCTAAGCAAAGACATGGCTTAGCTATTGGTAGTGTTGCTGCAGGAACAAAGTACACTTCTTTGTTCACACTAAACCATAATTTGATTTAGTGTTATGCGCAAACCAGGCAACTGAGATCTGAAGGCCCCCCACATTATTTTTTATGATACTGGATGCCAGTGGTATTTGCACAGCATGAGCACTTTTCAATAAAATGTGATAAGCACACTCTAGTAATCAACATTTAGCCAGCCTTAATGTGTAGAAGAAATAGCTAATGAATGTTTATTTTCTCTTTCTGTTGGTACCTGCTTGCCAAACTATATAATGTAGAATGTACCCATGGAAGTATTCTTGACAAGCTAGGAACAATTCACATAAAATAACAAACCTTTCCCTCTGAGACACACAGGAAGCTAAGAATCAGCATCACAGATAAAGTTGCTGCTGTCCTCAAGGAACAGTCTTACCAGCCCTGTGGTATAGAAATTTTACTTTGTGTACAGGGCTTATCTTGTTTCATCCACTTATCCGAGTCATGTGGGAACTTCCCATCTTAGATTTGAATGGGATCTAGCGGTCTAGCCTCCCACTGAAATTATGGTGTGAATAGGTTTATACATTCATTATACCTCGTATGGTCACTGGCCAAGGTATGTAGCCAGCTACTGTGAGCACTATCTCCAATGAACATTTCATAAAATCCAATTACCTGTGAGCCAGAAATAGGCCACACCAGAACTGTCTGTTGCTTTTTCTAGGAAATAACTACGCCCTGCTTGGTCACTGATCAGGACATCCCTCTAGTTTTAGAGCGAGCAGGAGATCCAAACACACAGGTAATTTTTCACTTTGGCTGCAATATAGGGTGGGGAGTCTTCACTCTGTGTTCTGATCAGAACAGAGGGAGCTACCCACTCTGGTGTGGCCAGTACCACCTCCTTGTATTGGCTTTCCTTACACATCACAGTTAAAGGCTTCTCCTGTTGAACTTTTACCCTTGTAGACACCCTTTCCAGATCATTTCCTTGCAATATTTCCTCACACTTCTGCCATTTGCTTTTGTTATCTTTGGTCAGATCTGATTAATCCAAATCTGTTGTCAAGTTATCTCCTTGTCTGATATAATAATAATAAAAAAAAATCAAAACGAGTTACTGTCTTGGTATGTAAGATTAAATGCTTCTTCAGTGTTTGGAATTTTCCTAGTTTTAATCAGGTCTGATTGAAATATGTGATCTTTGTATATGTAAATATTAACATATTATAATTCAAACTTATTATGAAACCACTTATTTTATTACTAAATTAAAATAAGCTTGAAGGTTTCTTGTGATGTCTTTTCATCCCCCCCCCCCATTAAATTGAATGAAGAAAGATGCTTTATGTAATATGACAGGATAACTTTGTTGCTTTAGCTAGAGCAAGCAATTAAGGCTTACAGAAATAGATTGCTGTGGCTTTAGCTGTCCGATAATGGTCAATTTAGCTTGGGAAGCTTAGAGATGAATAAAAATATGCTAAAGGGACAGATTAGGTGGTGCATCCCATTTCAGATTATCTGGAAAACTTAAAATCACATTTGATTAGCACGTTAGGAAAAACAGAGCCAGTAAAGTAAATTGAAGGTCTATAATTAAGGTCAGATCAGAACTAATACATTATTTTTAAAAGGTGGTAGATATTTCTTTTCTAACATTCTCTTAACTTGATACTATTTCATATTAAAATTAAGTTCATTAATGCTCATATTTTACTGGATTCATATTTAGATTTACCACACCAATTAAGGTTGTGATTACATTTCTTTAAAAAAAACTATTATCAGTGGACCTTACTTCCAAGTTAATATTGTGTTAGAACTAAGGTGAAAACTTATTAGGGTCTTATTGTCAATATTGTGTTACTTCCTGAAAATAATCCCACTTGACCTATGTACTATATTTAAAATTCCAATTGAATTGTATCATTGTTAAGAGTGTGTTGGAAGGGCAGTTGAACAAATAAGGAGAGAAAGGGGAAAAGAACTTAGAGATATGAAAAGAAGCTCTGTATAATAGTTACATACCATTTTCTTCAGTTTTCAGAACAGTGTCTCTCTTTTTTTCATACCTTTTTCTCCATTCAATTTGCATTCCATTTATACAATCCTACCGAGATCAATGTATTACATATCAATATCATCTATTTAACTCTCCTTGCCTGTTCCTTGCATTTCAATTCCCCATTTATAATTATATGGTTCTATTACTGTTTTTTTAATGATGTTGTACAGACCTTTATGGTACTGATTATAATGGTTGTCTGCTATGTTAACTGAAATATTAGTTGTACCTCAGAAATCTCACCCTATTTGCTAACATTTTAAAGAATGAACGAGTTCCAATTTGTTTTATATGGTTAGGTTAATCCAATTACGTTAATGAATATGCTTATGCATGTTGGTGACAAGACTCAAATTCCTTTCAGGAACTATTGATGCCCTTTAAAATAGTTTAGAAAGGTTTATATTGCAAATGTCTGTTATTTATTATTCAACCCAATTAGCACCTAATATCTAAGCCAAGTCATGACTTGAGGCAAATATGTGGGATCCCAAAAAGGAAATTGTCCATTTTGCTCCTGTCTAGTTTGTTTTGCTGCTGCACTGTGCCGAGCTAAGTTATGTTTTGGCTTAGCATGTCATCCAAACTCGGGAACCTTTGCAGCCCATAAGTGGGCCTTCTAGAGATCCTCTGGAAAAAATCTGTCCTCCACTCAACTAGCTTTTACATGCCTTTCCTCACACATACTGGAGTAAGCAAAATGTTCATTCTGCTTGTGCACTTTCCTGCAGGCATAGCCAATGTGGTGCAACTTCTTTCAGTCTTAGCCAGCATGGCTAATGATCAAGGCTGATGGGAGTTGTTATCCAAATCATCTGGAGGTCACCATGTTGGCTACCCCTGGAATATTTACTTCTTACTTCTGTTTCCTGATTTTTACTCTGTTACTGTTAACAGATGAATCTGAAATCAAAGGTATTATTGTCACTTTCTGCAACTTTAGAATAATTTGAATATATGGGAAACTACATCTGATCAGTACATGAACTTTTATTTTGGTGATGTGTTAGCAGTGATAAAACTCACTTCCATAGAGCCTTTGGGGGGAATTCAGCATTGCCCCAAGGAGATCATTCCATTGGCACAGTTACTTTTGCTTACCAGGCAAAATGAACTCCTCCCTCTGCACCCTGTTCTGGGGGCTCTCCTGACCCTCCCAATCAGATATGGGGAGGGCATTGGTGCGAAGGTGAGGGGGGCAAGTCCTGTTGATCTGTTAGGACTTGTTGCATTGGCTTCTGCTAGTGCAACAGATTAGTTCAATCCAGTCCAATTACTTTAGTCCACCTGTAGACCCAAGTATTTATGCCCCACTAAAAACACGCTGAAATTAGTGTCTGTAGCTGTAAAATGGATTGCAGCTACTGGCTTATAAAGGTATGGCAAAACTTTCATTGATTTTAATAGAGTTGGGTTGTACCCTATACCATAACTTAGTGTGCACCAGATGCATACCCACAGTTGTGATTTTCATTCACATATGTCTGTCATCTACATCATTTCAAAAGCCAGTAATAGGTAATGTTTTAAATAAAATTCAATTAAAACAGCTCAGAATACAGCAGAGGTCATATCTCCAATTTTCTACCAGCTTAATCCTGGACATCCCAAATTAATACAGTAAACAAAAAGCTATTGCAGCATTCCCAAAAGCTCCGAGATCAAAACTTTCTGGTAGATGGACTTAACAGAGACTTTGTGTTGCTTCAGTACAGTGGTACCTCGCAAGACGAATGCCTCGCAAGACACAAAACTTGCTAGACGAAAGGGTTTTTAGTTTTTTGAGCTGCTTCGCAAGACGATTTCCCCTATGGGCTTGCTTCGCAAGACGGAAACGTCTTGCAAGTTTGTTTCCTTTTTCTTAACACCGTTAATACAGTTGCGACTTGACTTCGAGGAGCAACTCATAGAACACGGTGTGGTAGCCTTTTTTGAGGTTTTTAAAGACTTTGGTGATTTTTGAAGCTTTTCCAAAACTTTCCCGACACCGTGCTTCGCAAGACGAAAAAAATCGCAAGACGACAAAACTCGCGGAACGAATTAATTTCGTCTTGCGAGGCACCACTGTATTTCCTTTCACTGACAGCTCTGCTTTTAAGCTAACAAAGAGAAGCTGAAATAGCTTCTGGTTTACTATTGTGGACTACTGAAGTAAAAATTCACCAGAAAACTGCATGTGAACATCAGTATGTGTTTGTGGAGCTCCTGGATTGTAACATTTCCAACACCTTTTCAGCTTTCCAAATAATTATAGAAAATGTTGATGTTTTAATTACATACTTGTTACATGGTTACAAGTTATTTAAATTGATATTAGGTTATGTTACTTAAGATATGTTACTCCAAAATATCATCTTTAGCTGTAATATGAATGTCTGCATGTACATGTTTGGGGCAATATCCAAAGGACCCCTTTCTTTCACAGACTCTGCTGCAGACACACTACCCAAAAAGCTGTTTTCCAAAAGTCTGGAAATAAAAGGCAAAAGCTGTGTTGAACCGCTTCAACATACATTTAGGAATCCTTGGATCTTGGCCTGCCTTTGTCCACTGCTGCATTTCCAAATTTAATTGAAATAAAATTGTCTTGTGAAGATATTTGGTGACTGTTGTGCTTTTTATGGTGGGGAAAGATTGGTTTAAAATGTTGAGAATTTCTAGTCGATATAGAAACCACTACAGTGAGGAAAAACATCTTAAGGAAACAAGAAATGTTTATTCCATATGTGAAAAGTTATTTTGCATCTTGGAAATGATTAAAGGGCTATTTAGTGTGGGTCTGTGCTTCATATACTTGAACAAGACTGGTTTAAGATTTTACCTATTCTCAACCCACCACTTTCCCCTTTTTAAAGAGCTGTGTATTTCAAATGGTATAGACAAGACCTGTAAAACATACCGTACTTGGATTGCGTGCTGCCTGTGCCAAGACAAGAACATTGTGACTAATCAAAGTGTAGGGTTTTTTAAAATACATAATTGCCATTTTTAATAGTTATCTTTTTTTCTAGTGGATGTGAAGGAAATTGTAGTCACCATTTTAATGTTTTTTGTTTTTTTGTTTTGCATCTAGCTTTTAAGGAAAAGGCACATAGGAAATGACATTGTTACCATTGTCTTCCAAGAGCCTGGAGCGCTTCCTTTTACTCCAAAAAATATCCGTTCTCATTTTCAACATGTGTTTGTCATTGTTAAAGTCCACAACCCTTGCACTGAAAATGTGTGCTATAGGTGAGTACAGGTTTGTCAATTGCCTTAGTTTCTTAGGCTTTCATTGGAAATTGCTGGGGCCATTTCCCATGTACCTGTGCTCCCAGCTCACCCAGCCAACCATCATGGCACCAACCTTCCCCTTCCACTCAATGCATGAGCTTAGTGGGAGACTCACTGGCCATATCCTTGCCTGTGGGGGCTGGCAGCAAGCCCCCAAATGGGATGCCTCAGGGATCCACTGGAATCACTTCCATCGGATGATGGAATTTGTTCCAGTTGTCCTGTACCTCCTCATCTATTCACAGTGAGCAACCAGAGTGCAGATGGGTGGTGGATGTACTGCTCCAAAAAGTCCAAATGATGGCTCGTGAGGGTTTGGATTGCACCCTTAAACAAGGTTCAGGAGACTTGCTAGCTTCAATAAAAATAAGTTGTATGGTACCAATAGAATGTAGTCTATATTTAAATCTCTGAATTAGTCAAGGAAAAGAAACAATCTTATGAAAGCTGAGCCCTATTGTTTCTATATGCATGGGGACTCTAGACTGGAGAAGTGGGGTAACTGACTCAGTTCTAAGGTAGCTCATAATGGATCATGGCATGCTTATATGTTCATACCATGAATCAATACTGTATTCTAGGCATATGGCATAAAAAATTGTGCATTTGTTTATAGACTAGTACCCTGATCTATATATTTAGTGTTCATGTACATGCATCTGTAACAGACCATTTTATGATGGGTTGGTAGAACAACATTTGTGTTCTGTGAATATTTAATTTTTTGATGCAGCACATTTTCAATTTGATAAAAAATATATTCAGTTAGGAAGAGTTCTGTAGAGGGTTGGACTGGATGATCCTAGTGGTCCCATCCAACTCTACAATTCTATTATTTTATTTTTCTCATTTTGCTGCAAATGTAACTCTGGTTGACAATTTCTGGTTTTGAAGAGTTTTGAGGTAGTTTATTATATAAATTTTTCTTGTCCTTGGTAGGTGCATAAAGATCTTATGAATAAACAAATAATGTTTTAGTTAAAATAACTTACAAAACATTGATCCTATAATAAAGTTTTCTTCACTTTCTAGTGTTGGAGTTTCAAGGTCAAAAGATGTACCACCTTTTGGGCCACCAATACCTAAAGGAGTGACTTTCCCTAAATCAGCAGTTTTCCGGGACTTCCTTTTGGCCAAAGTTATTAATGCAGAAAATGCAGCACACAAGTCAGAAAAATTTCGAGCCATGGCCACTAGAACACGGCAAGAGTACTTGAAAGATCTTGCAGAAAACTTTGTTACTACCGCTACAGTAGACACGTCAGTCAAGTTTAGTTTTATTACACTGGGAGCAAAGAAAAAAGAGAGAGTGAAACCAAGGAAGGATGCCCACTTATTCAGCATTGGAGCAGTGATATGGAATGTGATAGCACGAGACTTTGGTCAGTCCCTTGACATTGAATGTCTTCTTGGTATCTCAAATGAGTTCATCGTGTTGATTGAAAAGGAATCAAAGAATGTTGTTTTCAACTGCTCCTGCAGAGATGTTATTGGATGGACATCTGGATTAATGAGTGTTAAAGTTTTTTATGAAAGAGGAGAATGTGTTCTTCTCTCAGCACTTGATAACTGTGCTGATGACATCAGAGAAATGGTTCAAAGACTGGAAGTAAGTATGGTTTCTTTTAAGTGCTTGGCAATTTCAAATGCTATTGTCAGTAATTTTTCAAGATAATGGAGATGGATAAATATGATACCTGACTATAGAATTTTAAAAATGAAAAATTTACCGGACCATTTCAAGGGTATTTCTGTATTCCAGGCTTTAACTGGAAATGTGGCAGCTGTGGTCTGAAACAGAATTCTCCCTTTTTATTACAGTTAGGGTTGCCATATTTCAAGAAGTAAAAAATCTAGACAATTCTACTAAGCATAATAAAGAATTTTAACTTACCGTATTTTTCGCACCATAGGACGCACTTTTTCCCTCCTAAAAAGCAAGGGAAAATGTGTGTGCGTCCTATGGAGCGAATGCAGGCTTTCGCTGAAGCCTGGAGAGCGAGAGGGGTCGGTGCGCACCGACCCCTCTCGCTCTCCAGGCTTCAGGAAGCTATCCGCTAGCCGTGGGAGACCCAGCTCTCCCACCGCTAGCGGAGCGCAGCATTAATCCCAAAGCTTGGGGCGTGCGGAGCGCAGCGCGCCCCAAGCTTCTGGGTGCAAGCAGGGTCTCCGCTAGCCCTGGGAGAGCCCCGCGACGTCGCGCGGCTCTCCCAGGGCTAGCGGACCACTGCGCTAATCCCGAAGCTTGGGCATGCGGGAGCTCAGCGCGCCCCAAGCTTCTGGGTGCCGGCAAGGTCTCGCTAGCCCTGGGAGAGCCCCGCGACGTCGCGCGGCTCTCCCAGGGCTAGCGAAGCACTGCGCTAATCCCGAAGCTTGGGGCGTGCAGAGCTCAGCGCGCCCCAAGCTTCTGGGGGCCGCAAGGTCTCCGCTAGCCCTGGAGAGCCCCGCGACGTCGCGCGGCTCTCCCAGGGCTAGCGGACGCACTGCGCTAATCCCGAAGCTTGGGGCGTGCAGAGCTCAGCGCGCCCCAAGCTTCTGGGTGCCGGCAAGGTCTCGCTAGCCCTGGGAGAGCCCCGCGACATTGCACGGCTCTCCCAGGGCTAGCGAAGCGCTGCGCTAATCCCGAAGCTTGGGGCGTGCAGAGCTCAGCGCGCCCCAAGCTTCTGGGTGCCGGCAAGGTCTCCGCTAGCCGTGGGAGAGCCCCACGACGTCGCACGGCTCTCCCAGGGCTAACGAAGCGCTGCGCTAATCCCGAAGCTTGGGGCGTGCAGAGCTCAGCGCGCCCCAAGCTTCTGGGTGCCGGCAAGGTCTCCGCTAGCCCTGGGAGAGCCCCGCGACGTCGCACGGCTCTCCCAGGGCTAGCGAAGCGCTGCGCTAATCCCGAAGCTTGGGGCGTGCGAGCTCAGCGCGCCCCAAGCTTCTGGGCGCCGGCAAGGTCTCCGCTAGGCTAGCGGAGACCTTGCTGGCGCCCAGAAGCTTGGGGCGCGCTGAGCTCCGCACGCCCCAAGGTTAGGGATTAGCGCTCTGCTAGCCATAGCAGCCTGCTTCCCGGAGCGTCGGGCGCCCTGAAAGCAGAGCTCCAGGCGCTTCGGGAACACATCCGCAGCGTGGGGAGGCTTGCAGGAGTTCCCCACAGGGCTCCCCACGCTGCGGATAGCAGCCTGCTGCCTGGCGGGTGGGGCGCCCTGAAGCAGAGCGCCCCTCGCGCCAGGCAGACATCCGCAGAGTGGGGAGCCTTGCAGGAGTTCCCCACAGGGCTCCCCACGCTGCGGATAGCAGCCTGCTGCCTGGCGGGTGGGGCGCCCTGAAGCAGAGCGCCCTGCGCGCCAGGCAGACATCAGCCAGCCCCACAAGCTCGGGGGACAGCAGGGAGGCGCAGCGCCACTATCCCGCTGTTCCTCGACCTGGTTCGGTTTCCCTGACCTGCTTTTGGGGGGGGGGGAAATAAAGGGAAAAATTTTTTCCTTTATTTCCCCCCAAAAAACTAGGTGCGTCCTATGGTCCGGTGCGTCCAATCGTGCGAAAAATACGGTAATTCAGATTCTCTTTAAGTGTGTTTTAAGTGTTGAGATAATTCAGATAGTTCAGATAATTTTAAGTGTTCACTTAATTCAGATTCTCTTTAAGTGTGTTTTAAGTGTTCGGATATATAACCTGACCGAATCAAATGAGTCAGGTTGCAATAATTTAGCATTGTTCTAATGAAAAAATGTGATCTGTACCTGTAAAGACTTCAGTAAATTACTATTTTGCTTCCTTGTTTAATATAAGGCAGCTGCTAAGTCTTCTACAAACAAAACAATCCCTGAATTGTTATAATAATCAGTAAGAGAAATGTACTGTCTTAGAAACTGGACACAGCACAGATGGTTGCTCCAGGGGCATCAAATGTTAGAGCTTGGAGAACAACATCTTTATTCAGAAATCTCTAGTCAGCCATGAATGACAAAAACACTATTAGCTACCCGAGGGGTATAATATATTAGTACATGTGACTTTGCATTGTTTGAAAGCAGTTCCTTACATATTTCAGAAGGTATGTGTCCAGTGAGGGAGATGTGAAGACTTGGTAAAAAAAATTGGAAAGTGGTGGAAAAGAAATGGGTGTATATGAAAAGTGGGTGTGGGTGTGCATGCAAGACTAGAAACAGATTACTGAACAATTGGTAGTTGGGAGGGGGATCTCTTAGGAAATGCACCTTTCAGAATGTGTAATACTAATGTGTAAAAGAATCCTACAGTTAATTTACCCTGCTGAAAAAATTTAGTCTTAAGATTCCAAAGCAGTAATAAGACTGATGACAGAACTGATACAGTGTCTGACAGGATTACTGAAGAAGTAATTATTTTCTATCTTGATGTTGGAAACTTACTTCAGAATTTGCAGAGTACATCTTTGAGTGTTTGGTCCAGAAGTACATTATGAGATTATTCCAGTCATTTTGATTGTGAAACCTGGTGGACTTTGTACAGGCTGGCTTTTGACTCCTCTTTTTAGAATTTGTTTAAAATATTTATGCATGGCCCTTAATAAAAAAAAAATTCCAGGGTGTCTCACAATAACACAACTACTATACACTGTAATATAGCAAACAATTTTTATTTTCATCTTGTTTTTAGGTAACTTAGGTTAGGATTCACCTAACCAGCCCTGTCAGTGGAAGCCCTGTGCAAGGACTTTCACTTGTGCTATAAGGCTTCCCCCATCTCTCTCCCCCCATCCCATGCCTTCCAGAATTGGATTGGGAGAACCTCCAGAACAATGTGCAGGGGGAAGCGTATTGTTCCATTTGGCAAGCTGGAATACTAGCACAGATAGAATAATTGGAAGACCTTAAGTCTGCAATCCTAAACACTTAGCTGGGAGTAAGTCCCAGTTAACAGTGTGGCTCTTATGTATTGGTTCCATCATGACACTGATTTATAAGTGTTCTAATAAAACAAAGTTATTGTTACTTTTGGATTTCAGAAACATATCAAACAATAAAATTTTATCTTATCGGTTATAATAAATATTACACTTCATGTTCTTAATGGCAGGGGGATAAAATCACATTTTAAAAACCATTTCAATATCACCCTACCCACAGCTCACCATTTCTGGAATTTTTACATCACTATTCTTTTATACTGTGGTCTCACTAATTTCTTATTCCTTTAGATAGTAACTAGAGGATGTGAAACAACAGAAATGACCTTAAGGAGAAATGGCTTGGGACAGCTCGGATTCCATGTTAACTTTGAAGGGATTGTAGCAGATGTGGAGCCATTTGGTTTTGCCTGGAAAGCTGGCCTACGTCAAGGCAGTCGCCTTGTGGAGATCTGTAAAGTAGCTGTAGCAACCCTGACTCATGAACAAATGATTGACCTGCTGCGCACTTCTGTGACTGTAAAGGTGGTGATTATCCAGCCACATGAAGATGGATCACCTAGACGGTAAGAAGTCACAGTAGCTAGTAGGTTATTTGTGTCTTCACTGCTGACATTCTTTTGCCCTTTTCACAGATGGCTTTCTTGTTAAATGGGTAGTGCTCATTTGGTGCTAATGAGACTTGCAGCTAACACAGTCTGTGAGAGAAGTGCTATCTTGTAATAGATGGAATGGATCTTATAAGTTATTTTAATAAAGGATGGATTGTATACTGGGGGGACTGGTTGCTTTTAGTTAAGTGAGCAGTGCTTTCTGAATAAAGTGAACTGTTTACTATAGAATGGGGAAAGCATCAATATGGGAATAAGGGGGGAAAGTGGTGGCAATTAATCAATGTTTTTGAAAAGAGTGAAAATTAATAAGGGATTTGAAATAGGGAAATAGAGTAGAAATTATTATGGCTTTTGGAATGGAGTGGAAATTAATGAAGAATAAGGGGGGGAGGGTAGAAAGTAATAAGGAATATTGAGGAGAGGGGTGGGGATGCTCAGTATATTTAATGAGGCAAATGGTTAAGAAAGTTTGGCTTTGACTACACTCACATTGACATGCAGCCCCTGGAGGGATTGGCTATGGGTCGATGCAGTCCTCAGCACCAAAAAGGTTAGCTACTGCTTGCCTGCATGCTCTGTCCTCATAGGGAAGGTATTCCAAACCCAAATCAATTTGCTTGCACTTTTCTGCACCTTTTCCAGCTCTCCAATATTCTTTTTGAGATTGGGCAATCAATGTTTTCTTCCATTTCTCACTTTCAACTAACGTTAAAAGTATCCCGAACAGATGGAGCAAGGAAGAAATTGAGAAAGTAGAAGGGAAAACTTAGGTTAAAAGAGGCAGCCTTGTGTTAGATGTGCCTTTGTAGCTAGGCAGATGGATATTATGAGGGCAGAATACATGTCCGTTATACCCGCTTTAATAAATGTTTTTTTTATCTCAACTAATTCAAGCGTTCAGTTAGCTTTCTTTAATAGGGAGAGTGCTTGCTGTGTATGACTGCCACATTAACATATTTAACTAGAGCATTGTAGAATTGGTGATATATATGTTGCGTTTTATTTATGGATGTTCTCCAAAAATTAATTTCTTAGAGTGAAATGGGGGAAATTATCCCTTTATTGCTGCCACTCGTATTGCCACACACGTGCTGCCTTTGGAAGACATAGAAATATGTCTGTATATCATTGTTTTTTTCAAGTTGCATATAATTGGCAGCTGAAAGATTTTCTCAGCTTCATTTGGAGATTTTTGCCATCTGCTTCCAAGTATGAAATAACACTTTTTGGTACTTATTCTCCTGATTATCACTGGTGCCATTCCAAAACAGTTGGATCCATAGCTTAGGATAGGCTGCAGACTGCAAAAAGTCTAGAAAAGTCAGAGCCCTTCTACAGGCTCCTAAGTCATCATCTACCCCAACAGAAGGAGAAGGGATTTTCTGCAGTATAAACTTCCTGTGATATGAGAATCTTCAACTGCCTCTTTAAAAGAATGTCTGCTCTTCCTGGATTATCCGACTCTTTGAAGCCTTCTTAGCAGACTGGACTGAGTATAGTTTTCCCCAGAGTCCACTGTTTTTTACTACTTCCAACCAAGGTGAATAAAAATGGATAAAAGTGTAATCTTACATTTTAAAAAAGTTCAGTCTATAATCTGTTTCTCTTCTAAAAATAATGTGGTTGAAACCATGAAGGTTATTGCAAAACATCAAAGGCTCAAGGTGCCGTAAGACTCTTTTTTGCAAGAACAGGCTAACTCAACTATTCATTTGGGAATTGGTTTAAAACTAAAACTGACCTTAATATAAACATATAATCTCTTAAATATGAACATAGAACCCTCTTGTGAAAGACTCCTTTCCTTTCCTTTCCTTTGTAAAGACAGGTTTGTGCTGTGAAATATTTGTTCATGGGGGGATATACAATATACTAGATCACATCTTAAACCCTGATTCAAGAGACCAGAGACAAGGAAGTCATCACAGGTTCTAAAATTCATATGGTGTCATGACTTGCCTTATAACTGATCCCATATATATCTTGTTGTCCTGTTTGATGCCCAACTATCTGAAGTGTACAGTGTTTATGACTCTACCACCCAAACAACAAGGAATTCACTTTACATCTCATGGCGAAAACACTGTTTTGCTCTTCAACTACCTTTCCTTCAGAGACCAGAAAATATGACAGCAGGGAACTTAGAGACAATGCTAGTGGACATCGCTTATGATGGAAATCCTAAGATGAAGACATGATCATGAAACTTACGAGGTTTTCCAAGTTATCTGCCCCTGGAAAAAGAGTACTCTCCACATCCAAAAATTTTCTCACATGATTTTCTTTCCGATACTTTTCTATAAAGGTTAAAACTCCAGTCCACAATCAGCAACTGGGACAAATTATAATAGATTATGTGTGTCTGGTTTCCCACCTTCTGTGCTTGACAAAATGTTAAAGACACCACTGCCCTAAGTTTTGTTACCCATATCCAGATCAAGTTCTGTCACTGCATTTCACAACCACAGGCATATGTCCAGTGAACAGGAGGGTTAGCTAATTTGCTAGCTTAATCTATTCCCAGGCTTTATCCCTGTTCTATTGACATGTTCAGCATATTTTCCTTCCCAATGTGGACAGATGGGCTAGACCCTGTACTTCCCATGGCTAAAGATTTTCAGCCTCATGAGTCTACAGACCATTGAAATCAAACTCTGGGAAATCCATTGAAATCAAAGGTCCATGTTATATTATCTCAAAACTCAGTCTTGATCAGATCATTGATTTTTTTAAAAAATCTAGCCATACTTAACGTAGGTGATGCTGTCCTAGCATCAGCTTCAGTTTTTGTTGTGTTAGTGACCACTATAGGTAGAAAACTCCACTTATTCAAGCTTTGGGCTTTGTAGGGCTCAGCTGATAAATTTGCCCTTTTCCTGCTGAGAAACCATTCAAATAACCTCTAGATGAGTTTTAAGGCTCCGTATATTTGCCCTTAAGTGCCAGGTATTGTGGTGCTGTTATTATTTATTTATTTATTTTAAAAAAGATTGCCCATCCCTCTACTGGCAATCTAGATTGGGACCTTAGAATGATGGGGCATGAAGGTTTTAACCCTTTGCAGTCAATTTGGCCCCTCAAGCTTGCAATTAGCACAGTGTGTTTTTTAAAGCTCGCTTTCCCCATGCAAGAAGCCAGCATGGGAAGCCTGGTCTGAATTGGTACCATAAGGAGGCTAAAGGGTTAAAGCCCCCTTACTCCATAATAGGGTCTTAATATGCTTGGCCACCTGGGCAGGGAGTATGTGTTTAAAAAAAATAGTCCTCTGCACTTAAACAACACAGATATGGAGCAAATGTATCCTCTAGTTGGGCCCTCAGTGAACTTGTGGGTAATAAAATAACCCCTCAACCCCACTGAAGTCTTCCTTGTTTACTCTTAGATATCTTGGACACCAGGGAAACTAGCGGCATGTTCAGCAGGCAGGTTTTCCTTGGACTGCAAAAGCTGCTTTGCATTCAGTTTTATCTCTGACAACTTAAATTTTACATAATCTAGTGTAAGAGTACTGATGATGGGTCATATTTCATAATATGATATAATTGATATAATATAATCATATCATTTTATGACATGCACATGCTATACTTCTTTTTTAAAAAATGATGGGCTGTATCTCTACAGGACTCAAAGATTATTATGTCTATGTGTACCGCAGGGGTTGCTCAGAACTGTGTCGAATTCCCATGGTGGAGTACAAACTTGACAGCGAAGGCACCCCATGTGAGTATAAAACCCCTTTCAGGAGGAATACTACTTGGCATCGGGTGCCAGCTCCTGCAGGGCAGCCTCTTTCTCGTGCCTCTCCAATCCTAGGAACATCTGATAGATTGCAGTGCCAGCAGCTTCTCCAGCAGGCGCAAACAGCCATTCCTCGCAGTACTTCATTTGACAGAAAGCTGCCAGATGGTGCAAGGTAATATGTTCTCTCTGTTATCAATTCCTGTATTTTCTTAGTGCTTTATTAGTAAACCTTTCTGGTCTTTGGTATGAAGTGATTTTTTAAAAGCTGTTTTCTTTTTAAACCTCATTCATATACTACTGGACAAGGTTTTAACAGATTTGAGCTGCAGTGAGCTTAGTGTTCGCCTCCACTAATCCTTCTTGAAACAATGGTCAGTGCTAATGATACTTTAAAAGGTAGACGACATTAAAACTCACACCCTCCTCTCTATTTATAATGGAATATAAAGGCTAGGTATCAGGCAATTTCGGCCACTGTGGTAGTCGACCAATAAAATAAGAACTTCGGAATAAGAGCAACAAGCATTTTAAAAAATGAAATTAGTTGCTTGCAGGTTAATACTTTCATCTCATTCCAAGAGAGTTTTATTATATTTGTAACGTCAATAGAACATGGCTATAAACGTCCAAGAGCAAATGGATATTTGTGGAATGATGTCTTTGTTTAAAAACTGAAATGACTTAAAAGTTAAATGAGAACCCAATTGACGTTTGTTCCAATTCAGTAGTAGGCAGCAGGTTTTTCCAGGGACTGGACAGGAGACCTGGGAGAAGAGGTAGTGGAAGAGGACTGGAAAAAGTTTAAGGACTATCTACAAAAACATTGTAAATTGTATGAGTGTTAAGAAGGATGCAGGACTGAAAGCAACATGGCACTAGCAATTTAGTTGAAAGAAATATGAGAATAAGTGAGATTGGAGAAAAAGATAAATTCTGGAATAACATTATGTCTAAATTAAGTATTTAAGTATTGGATAAAAATATTTAAAGTTGGAGACATAATATTTGAAAATTACAAAATAAGAGTTGAAATAAGGTGATAAATTGCTGCTTATAAGTTTATAACTGGGAATGCAGGAATGGGAGATGTGAGGAAGTCCAAAAAGTTAAGAAAATATGGTTGTTGGACATTTGGATTTGTCGTATGTTTTTTACTATATGTAAATCTTTTTGCTTTTTTCTGTTTTTCTTTGTTTGTTGTATTTTGGTGATGGTTTTATATGTGGTTGATGAATACAATGTTTAAAATCCTTAATAAATATTTTATAAAAAAAAGAAAGAAAAGGGGCTGGACAAAAAAAATCCCCTCTCAGGCCCGTACCTAGAAATCACAGGACAAATGGAAGTGCGGATGACCCCAAAGACACTATTGCTTGCAAGGATCGATCTATATGTACTTTAAAAAGTGCTGAATTGTGGTCACTATGTGAAAATGTGCAGACTGTAGGAAACATCCAGTATCACACGAGCAGACTTCACCATTCTCTTGCTCCCTCGTTGCAGGCCCCTCCAGAGCAGATTGTAGGGCTACTGAAGTGGGGATGAAGGGAGGCTGCATATCATTAGATGTCCCCGCATCTAAAAATGGTTTAAATTTCACAAAAGCTAATCCAATGTCTTCATATTGTTGTCTGTATTTCTAATTTCATTAGGAATTTATCTCAAAAATTGATTGTTGTTGAAGCATCACAGATCTGTGTACATGGTTAATTACTTGAGTCACTATTTCAGAAGTTCACCGAGCAACCAATCATCCTCCAGTGACCCAGGACCAAGTGGGAGTAGTCAGTGGAGACACCAAGTGGGATATGATGGGTATTTGTTTCTTTACATCTGAATCCCTTTTTATCAACAGTAACTGTAGAAGCTAATTTATGTGTGGACTATCCAACTGGCTGTTGTAGAATGTTTCATAGGTGGCTTTGTAAAGATAATAATTTAATTACCGTATTTACTTGATTCTAATGCTCACCTTTTTTGGCCAAATTACATTGTGAAAATTAAGGTGCGCATTAGATTTGATGGCACGTTTACATTCACCAGCAAATACTTCTTTTGGTTTCAAGGTTCTGAAAACTGAGGTGTGCATTAGATTCGATGGCGCATTAGATTCAAGTAAATATGGCATGTGCTGCTGTAGTCAGTCTGCCCCATCTCTGAAGGCTTGGAGGCAATCCATACATAGCTGAGTGGTGGTGGTATCTAGTGGTGTCTATTTGCTAGTGGAAGTGCATCAACTAGCACAAGAAGAGGGAGCTGTTTTTCACCAGTCCCCTATAGCAATTGCAGCCCCCTGTGTCATATCTCATACTGTTCAAGAGGGTCTCCCAACCCTCAGGAGACGCTTTTGGAGCAGCATTTGGCTGTGGGTGGGGGGGAGCGGGCTAGGTTGGGTAGACCTGATTAGTGAAAAACTGGTACCCTGCTTTGCTCAAGTGAAAGCGGTTCAGTTTGTAACAAAACCACCCACTTTAAAAAGAAATCAACATAAGAGCTAATGCAGGGGTATCAGCAGCTATATTTGGGCAACTTTGTGTATAAGTCTTAGATAAATAATAACTTAAGCAGAATATATTTAAATTGTTCTAACTACTGTGGAATGTCTTACTCTTCTTTGCTTACCAGTTGTCAATATTGAAAATATATAGTTATGCCATTTTACAGCAGGGATTTTATAAACTAGATGAGAAGCTTTCCTAGTGAGCAGGGGAAAGCAACAATTTCTTTCTTTGTTAATAGGTGCCAGTCCCCTTTACTTCATGATCACCAGGGTTCAGGTCCACTGGAGAGTGAAGGAGGCAGAGAACATGAAGAATCTTTGGAAGCGACCAGGCATCCCAATGGTAATTATTATTCTGTTTCAGTTTAATTACAGCTTTGCTGGTTTGTTTTCCACTTGTATAATGTTTTGCATTATAAACTATCTTAAACTATCACTGGCATACTGATGGTAACAAATGCAAAACCTTTGGAAATCTTTCCTAGCCATTTTATGTAAATGTTAAACAACATGGTTGAGAATATCAGCCCTATGACACAATTATATCCCAAAGATTATTCCCACTGGCACATTCTGAAATCTGGCCAAGAAGGACATTTTCTCCAAGTCTCATCCCAGCTCAGTGATCTAGAAGGATGCCATGGTTGATAGTATTGGAAGCTAGTGAGAGGTTAAGAACCAGCACTCTCCTTGCCCAGCTCCTGGTATAAATCCTCCACCAGGCCAATCAAGGCTATCTCTGTTCCAAAACCTGATTCCACCCATATGAGATTTGCATATTTGTGTGTAAACCTACAGAGGATTTTTCTTCACGTGAGAGTGTGATTGCTGAAAATACAGATTCACTCATGCTAAATCTCAAGATTTATAGTTATCAGGTAGCATTTTTGTCCTTATGTGGAACTTACAAGAATTAGTGCTGTGGTATGATCGGGAGCTTTTGCTGCAGCTAAATGTGTATATGGTTCCACAAGGTTGTTTTTTCTAATACAGTTCTGCTACTTCCTTTCTCTCTTTTTATATTCCTATTTCCCTGTTTCTGTCTTCCTCATATAATTGCAAACATCCTTGCACACACCATTTTCTACCATATTTTCACACAGTCTTGTGCACCTGCGCTTAGTACTCTCTTGAATAAAGACTAGAATCAGCTGCATATGTATCTCATCACATTTGTTGTTTGCAGAGAGTTTTAAGATATTTTTTTATCCACATACAAGCTAAATTACTTTTTCCTCAAAGCTACTGGGATAACTCCTTTTAAAATGATACTGTTTATCTCCCTCTGTTTTTTGATCATCAGAACATTAAGAGGATGTGTGTATTGATTTTGCATTGTGCTTGCATTTCCATGTTTTGTAGAAATAACACAGCAAAAGGACATGTACAAACAGGCCCTTCTTATTCAGAACTCTCATTTAGTAAGCTGTATAGACATCAGTTTAATTATCTTTTAAGATGATGGGCAAGAGTAAACTCTCTGCTCTAGGAAATTTCAAAGAACATCACTGTTTCAACCTGATGCATATAGCATTAAGTTGTGAGCTTCTTTTCATTGTACAATATGTTTTGTGCGTTTAGAAATTAAAACACATAATTATTTATGGCAGAAACCAAGTGGCATGCACCATCAACCAAAGTCTTGAGTTCCTATAAAGACCGCGCTTTACAGAAAGAGAACAGTGGCAAGGATTCACCAAACAAATTTTCTCATGTAAGTCTTTTTTCTTAGGGTTTCCCAAATTAGGAATCTTTCCAAATATGTGGGCACAGTCTCTGTTGCAAAAGTTGGGAGAGCTGTGCAAATAGCTGGTTGCATTTGAGCCACCAACTTGATTGAAAGTGTATGTTTTGTCCCTGCTTCCCCATATAGAAATGGGAAGTACAAATTACAGATGGTAAACTATCCTGCAAGATGAATGAGCTATTGGGGTTAATACATTTATTTCTGCATCTTGCTATGTCCTACAGTTCTGTTTGGCATTGTTTTGCGTCCTATCATTTTAATGGAATAACTGAAAAACTGTAAAATTGAATGGAAAAGAGGCCATCCAGTTGTATCTGCCAGTGTTACAATCTCAGTTGTGGAATAAATTGCCAGAGTCTTGAATTTTTTTCTAAAGTGTGTGCACAACTAATAAGCATCACTGATGCAGAAGTAGTTTCAAGTATTCTTTCTGGCAGTGACCTCAAACAATCTCATTATAAAGGGCATGTGCAGGTTTCTAGGGCACTGCATGGATTAAAGCTTCATGTAAGCATCACTCTGGTGTCTGATTAGAACGTAATTTACATTGACTTGCATAGTCCTGAATACATTTCCTATTGTATTCAAGTGACATTCATACATTGCCATTCTTGTCATATTGTGAGGGATAAGCATCTGTTTTAATTACCAGCAATTGCACTTCTTTTATTTAGGGAAAATTTCACATTTAAAGAATGCATCTAATAAGAATATATTGTTATGCTTGTTCCTGTTAATTTGTGTGGTGGTGGTGATGACCTGATGTTAAGAAACAATTATTTCCAGCTGAATTAAATAATGTGAGAACTGAAGTGTGAGATTTGGAAAATAGAGCCTGTTTGTGCACAAATATCACTTTTGTGGTAAATTAAATGACAAGGGAACTATGCCAAGCCAAATTCTTCGCTTTCCTCTAGTTCATATGCATAAGCAGTCCCTCCCCCGTGTTGCAGCTAGCAAATGTTCATCGCCTTTTTGTCAGTAAAACAAAAGAGCAATCATCAAATCTACTATTTCAGCAGATTTGATTCCCACACTCTGTCCGGACAAAACCAGTGCTGGTCACAGCACATCTTCATGACTGAAGGATGATTGTAGGATCGAAACAGCACTGGTTAGCTAAGCCACCTGAGGGAGCAACATTGGCACAAGGTTATCCTGTGTCTTATCCTATGTTTCTGCTTACATACACATTTAGGTGGATATGTGCTGGCTATTTTTTAATATGACACAGGCATTTTAAATCCCTTTCCCTTTCCTCACTTACACCCTTTTAAACATTGACTTTCCTCAATACAAGAGGAACTGATATTGTTGACTTTATCTGCATTTCTTGATTTTGAATCTTGCATATTTTGTTTGTTATGGCAAAGTGGGGAAGAGAAGGTGAGAACAGTTTGGGTTTCGCTGTCCCTTGCTTGCCCAGCTTCAGGAGGGGCAAATGCAGAGGCTGATGCCGGTCTTTTTCTTAAAATAGTTCATCTTGTGTTCAATTACTTGCAAACATGTTGAGGTTCTCTTATAACAAAATGGACAAAATAACAAAATTTGCTGATGTAATATGACGTGTTAGGGATTTAATTTAAAACTATGTTATAACATTTATTCTGAACTGAACACAATTCACTCTGCACAGTGGAATCTTCTATACAATGGGCAAATTATTTCCCATCCTGTTTTTACTTTAGTTTGTTAAATTTGTTCTTTGCTTCCCGTAGCCAGAGTCCTGAAGCAGCTTACAAATGATAAAAAAAATAAAAATACAAGTGATAATGGCATATCCATTAAATCATGCAATAAGCAAAAAGTGTTAATTCAAAAAGTCACTCAAAAAATCCACCACCACCAAGATGCATTTGAGCATGTGTTAATCAAAATACTAATTATTTTATCCATATTTCAAGTTTATGCTGTTAGCATTATTCATTATATCTGCTTCATTTTTATTTGGCACTTCCAACAAGTAGTGAGGCAGCTGCTTGCTTCTTTGATTGATGAAACTGTGAATAAGAGAAAGTAAAACTGTATTGTAAAATGTTTCTCTTTAAGATTGGAGACAAAAACTGTTCCAGCCATTCCAGCAGTAATACCCTGTCAAGTAATACATCCAGCAACAGTGATGATAAGCACTTTGGCTCCGAAGACCTAATGGACACTGACTTGCTTGGATTAACATACATTAAAGGAGCTTCTACTGACAGTGGGATTGATACAGCTCCTTGTATGCCTGCTCCAATTTTGGCTCCTTTGCACCTGGCTGGAAGCCGGTCAGGGATACATAACCGGACTGATCAGTGGGCTGAATCATCTGAAACTCCTGGACCAGATGATGAGACTAAAATGTATGCTGTTCACAGCTATGCTTCTGCCATTTCTAGCAGTCATACAGGGGATGGTAGCATGGGAGACCTCAGTGAAATATCTTCACATTCCAGGTAAGCAATCCCCCAACCAAAGATTCCAGCTCCACAATTCTGTGATGGATAGTTCTGAGTTAAAGCGTAGATTTACCCCTTTTTTCTTTTCTTTTTTTGCTATTAACATTACATTTTACATGAGTTCTTTTATAAAACCTCATTTCAACAATGTTACATTTCAGAACAGAGAGGAAAGACTAAATTGCCATTTTCCTTACGAACTGCCTTCATGTGCTTGACAGTAAAACTATAAAAGGAGAAGAATATGCAATATTGTGTAGAGCTGTATATTTCATGCAGTTGCATAATAGCATGTGACCTGTTTTCTTTGCTGTATGCCAAGTCTCTGCTTGTTCAACAACATAATTTAGATAACATGATTTTATATGTGGACACTGTTGAGTGGATAGTCTTCCCATGTGGCAGAAGATTGAACTAGATATCCCCCTACCTCTAATGTTTCAATTATGAAAGCTGTAAATTACATTACACTTTTTAAATCTGCAAAACCCTTTGGATTATCCCAGCATATATAGCCTATTGCAATCTTGGGCGGGGGGGGGATGCACATGAACCCCTCTATGCATTGAAAGAGAGCTTGGGTGAGTGCATGGCTGTGTGGTCTAGCTCCACCCACTGCCGCCACAGATGTACTTATGTAGACCTTCTGACATCATTTGAATGTGCTGGCATCAGGGGAGTGTGACAGTGTTGGACAAGGCTAGCCTGCATGAAAGTGATAGTAAGTTGGATCAAGCCCTGTAGCCCTACCACACGCTCTTTCAGTTCATGGAGTGCTCCATGACTTTTGCGTAAAATGTTGACACTGAAAAGAATGTGACACTCAAATGTGTGTACATATTTTACCTTTGTTTTGTGAACAAATGGGGCTGGTTTAGGATGGTAGTGATTTGCAGGGCAGTCCCTAGCAATACTGAGTAAAAGCATATGTCCTTTGAGTGGAACAGAACAAGACTTTCTAAAAACTGTGTTGGGATTTCCACATTTAGAGTTTTTAAGGGTTTAAGAACTTAACCAGCGGAAATTGTTCCTATTTTTTTCTTTTCTGAAATACAAAACATTTGCAAACAACCCAACTCCGCACTTGAAATCCTGTCACTTCAAGTTCTGTACTAAATGTCTTTGTACATCTGGTCTCTGTAGTTTCAGTTTCAACTTAACTAAGCTGTAGAAGATGGCAGTGAAGTAAGAACATAAAAACTTTCAGCTAAATAGAATAAAACCCACAGAAATATAGGAATTCCATGTGTGTGTTCATCTTTCTTGCTGAAATGTCAGTTTAAACTACAGTGGTACCCCGCAAGACGAATGCCTCGCAAGACGGAAAACCCGCAAGACGAAAGGGTTTTCTGTTTTGGAGGCGCTTCGCAAGACGAATTTCCCTATGGGCTTGCATCGCAAGACGAAAGCCCATAGGGAAATGCTGGCGGTCGGGAGCAAAGACTTTCGCCCACAGCCGGCCTTCAGAAGAGGACCTCTTCTGAAGGCCGGCGGGGGGCAAAAGTCTTTGCTCCCCCCCGCCTGCCTTCCCCCCGCCTGCCCGGGGCGATCTTAAAATGCTGGCGGGCGGGAGCGATGCGTTCGCTGCCGACCCCCAGCATTTTAAAATCTCCAAGGGACAGCAGAGAAGTCTCTGTCCCGGGGAGATTTTAAAATGCTGGGGGTCGGGAGCGAAGCGTTAGCTGCTGACCCCCAGCATTTTAAAATCTCCCCCTGTCCCGGGGAGGTTTTAAAATGCTGGGGGTCGGGAGCGAAGCGCTGCCGACCCCCAGCATTTTAAAATCTCCCCGTGTCCCGGGGAGGTTTTAAAATGCTGGGGGTCGGGAGCGAAGCGCTGCCGACCCCCAGCATTTTAAAATCTCCCCGTGTCCCGGGAGGTTTTAAAATGCTGGGGGTCGGCAGCGCTTCGCTCCCGACCCCCAGCATTTTAAAACCTTCCCGGGACACGGGGAGATTTTAAAATGCTGGGGGTCGGCAGCGCTTCGCTCCCGACCCCCAGCATTTTAAAATGCTGTTCCGAAGGGGGGGGGTGGGGACACCTGCCCCAGCCGCCCCACTTCGGAAAGCTGTTCCGAAGCGGGGCGGGGGGGCGGGGACACCTGCCCCAGCCGCCCCACTTCGGAAAGCTGTTCCGAAGCGGGGAGGGGGGGCGGGGACACCTGCCCCAGCCGCCCCACTTCGGAAAGCTGTTCCGAAGCGGGGCGGGGGGTGGGGACACCTGCCCCAGCCGCCCCACTTCGGAAAGCTGTTCCGAAGCGGGGCGGGGGGCGGGGACACCTGCCCCAGCCGCCCCACTTCGGAAAGCTGTTCCGAAGCGGGGCGGGGGGGCGGGGACATCTGCCCCAGCCGCCCCACTTCGGAAAGCTGTTCCGAAGCGGGGAGGGGGGGCGGGGACATCTGCCCCAGCCGCCCCACTTCGGAAAGCTGTTCCGAAGCGGGGAGGGGGGGCGGGGACATCTGCCCCAGCCGCCCCACTTCGGAAAGCTGTTCCGAAGCGGGGCGGGGGGCGGGGACACCTGCCCCAGCCGCCCCACTTCGGAAAGCTGTTCCGAAGCGGGGAGGGGGGGCGGGGACACCTGCCCCAGCCGCCCCACTTCGGAAAGCTGTTCCGAAGCGGGGAGGGGGGGCGGGGACACCTGCCCCAGCCGCCCCACTTCGGAAAGCTGTTCCGAAGCGGGGAGGGGGGGCGGGGACACCTGCCCCAGCCGCCCCACTTCGGAAAGCTGTTCCGAAGCGGGGAGGGGGGGCGGGGACACCTGCCCCAGCCGCCCCACTTCGGAAAGCTGTTCCGAAGCGGGGAGGGGGGGCGGGGACACCTGCCCCAGCCCAGCCGCCCCACTTCGGAAAGCTGTTCCGAAGCGGGGAGGGGGGGCGGGGACACCTGCCCCAGCCGCCCCACTTCGGAAAGCTGTTCCGAAGCGGGGCGGGGGGCGGGGACACCTGCCCCAGCCGCCCCACTTCGGAAAGCTGTTCCGAAGCGGGGAGGGGGGGCGGGGACACCTGCCCCAGCCGCCCCACTTCGGAAAGCTGTTCCGAAGCGGGGAGGGGGGGCGGGGACATCTGCCCCAGCCGCCCCACTTCGGAAAGCTGTTCCGAAGCGGGGAGGGGGGGCGGGGACATCTGCCCCAGCCGCCCCACTTCGGAAAGCTGTTCCGAAGCGGGGAGGGGGGGCGGGGACACCTGCCCCAGCCGCCCCACTTCGGAAAGCTGTTCCGAAGCGGGGCGGGGGGCGGGGACACCTGCCCCAGCCGCCCCACTTCGGAAAGCTGTTCCGAAGCGGGGCGGGGGGCGGGGACACCTGCCCCAGCCGCCCCACTTCGGAAAGCTGTTCCGAAGCGGGGCGGGGGGCGGGAACACCTTCTGAAGGCGGGCAGGGGGCGAAAGTCTTTGTCCCCCCTGCTTGCCTTCCCAGGGGCTTTTAAATCGCCCCGGACAGCGGAGAAGTCCTCCGCTGTCCGGGGCGATTTTAAAATGCCGCCCGCCAGCATTTTAAGATCGCCCCGGACAGCGGAGAAGTCCTCCGTTGTCCCAGGGTTTTTTAAAATGCCGGGGGTGGGAAGAAAAGCCCTTGTCCCCCCCCCCAGCCTTCAGAAGAGGTCCGGGGACAGACTGTCCCCGGACCTGGTCTGAAGGCGGTTTCCCTAGGAACGCATTAATTGATTTTCAATGCATTCCTATGGGAAACCGTGCATCGCAAGACGAAAAAACCGCAAGACGAAGAGACTTGCGGAACGAATTAATTTCGTCTTGCGAGGCACCACTGTATGATGTTTGAAAGGCCTCTTACAGCAATGTTTGGGTATATTTTTGAATAGTTTATCTGATACTGGTGTGTTTTAAGCATTGAGTTAAATTGAAGAAAGGTGGGACATGTGTAGTAATGCTTTATAATCTATAACATAATGTACTTTTAAATTGATTGGGCACAATCTAGCCAAAGAATAACACTGTCAAACACTGTGGTCATTATCTGAGGCCATTCTCTGGATTCCCCGCCTCCTAAAAAAAATCATATAGCTGATCCAGGAAGTGGGGCGGGGGCTTTTGGTTGTAGCAACCTATGTTATATCCTCCCCAGGGAAGGTCATCTGGTGCCATCCTTAATATCCTTTTGGTAGTAGGAGAATTATTTTTTATTTGCCTAGGTATTCCAGCATGTACTGGTCTTAATAGTGGCTTCATCCATTTTGCTGGATTTTATTGTTGCTATGATTTTCTCTACATTTTTCTTGTTTTAAGTTATATTTCCAAATCATTTATTTTTAATGGATACTGCCTTGAAAATTGTACAGCATACATTTTCAAAATAAATTTCCTATCAGCTGTAATGGGGAAATAATGAATTTCTATAAATACATCCAGTGAAGCCAGGATGACTTTAAAGTATTTAATTGATATTGGACAAAGAAAGCAAATAACATTAAATATGACTGACTTCTGTCCTTTTGAGAAGACTTTTTAAAAAAATAAATGTATGTGATATATTTTCCTGTCTCATATATCCTCATACCGTAGTTCACTGTGTATTTTGTTTTGTGTGTTTTCCTCTCTTCTAGCGGGTCACATCATTCAGGAAGTCCTTCAACACATGGCCCTAAAAGCAGTGGATCATTAGATACGTCCAAAGTGTACATAGTGTCACAAAATTGCAGTCAACAGATCTCTGGCTCCATAGCAAAATGCTACCCTCGACAAGGAGCTATAAGCAAATATGTCATTGGCTGGAAAAAGTCAGAAGGTAGCCCTACACCTGAGGAGTCTGAAGCTTCGGAATGCCAAGAGTAAGGGAGAATTTGTTTTCTTGGGGAAGAAAAGTCTCTGTGGATTGGAGGAGGAGAGCCTAAATCATGAAAGGAAATGCAGGGTAGATGATGTATAATCCCTGGACTAGGAAGAAGCAGGGAAAGGCCAGACAAAGTTAGCTGCTTTCTATCAATATGGCATGAAATCAAAATTCTAAACCACTATGTAGAAGGAAAGTGTATAGTTGAATATTTCAGTTTGTTTTATACATTTTTATATGCTGTTGATTTTTTATCCAAAACAGCTTTGCAAAATTTCTGGCAATAACAAAACATGCTCTAATAATATAATTACATAAATGTATAAGGAATGTCATGCTTTATTACTAGTAACCTAATCTGTACTCAACATGAATGTGTGCTTTGTTATTTTTTATTTAATAATAATCCAGGAACAAAAAGGAATTGGGTTGTGTGTTTTCTCCCCCATGTTGGAACCCAACTTTAAAAAACAAACAAAAAAACTTAATGAATGATGTACTAGATACTGTTACTGTGGTTTTAGTGTCAGTTTTGATCATCATTTTAGAGAGTTAACAACTTTGCAGCATTCCCTCTAATTGTAAAGAACAAATTGTTTTACAGAATGTATAGTGATGTTGAGGGCCTATCATCAAGTCAGCTTCAGGCCTCTATAAGGAATACAGTTTCTGAAAGTCAGCGAGTCTTATCAAAAGAAGAGTTTCTGAAGTTGATGATGCCAGACAACATCTCAGTGGAGGAAGGCAGAAGAAAGGTTAGCTGCTGTTACTTTTTTCTTTGTCTCTGTGTAACCGTTAGAGGCAGTTATGGTGGTGGGAGCACTGCTTGATATAGAGATAAGTTCTAAAAAGAGCTGTAAATGAGAGAGAGTATAGAGCTTGTAATACTACTACTAATAATAATAATAAGCATGCTCACAAATATGAAGCCTGGTATGGTTATAGTCAGGAGGTTTGATATAATTAACCTGAAAGCTCTTCACTTTAAGGCAGGGATGGCTGCCCTGGGACTCCAAATTTTGTTGGGCTCCAACTCCCATCAGCTCCAGCCAGCATGGCCAGTGGTTAGGGATGATGGGAGTTGTAGTCAAGCAACATTTCAAGGTCCACAGGTTATCCACCCCTGCTTTTTAAGTTGCTATGTATAGATTCTCATTTGGGATGGAATTTTCTGAAAATACTGGTGTTGAACTTCCACATTTGGACTATGGTTAAATGTGATGGATGAGCTAGGCTGCTGTAACTTGAACATTTTTAACACATTCTTTGAAGTGTATTTTAAGTATAGAGGATTGGACTGGCATTTCTGGAGAGGTTTGAGAGTTATCCAGAAAATAAGCTTAGAGGCTATCATGAAATAACTGTCTGTTTGGTTGGTTGTAAGCTGCTTTGGGTTGCCCTGGGAAAGGTAAAGCAACTAACAAATTCTTTTAGATATAACTTTAGTGACAGTATATAAACCTGAGGGGGAAGGTGAGGGAAGTCAGCCTGAACCACATGGGAACCATTTCCAATAATCCACTTTCCATATTGTGTAGTGATCATACTGGTTAAGTAATACCTGAAATGGGTTTAAGAGAACTTTGTTGATGTCCTAAAGCAGAGGTGGGGAACCTCCAGCCTGTGAAGCCATTTTACCCAAAACATACCCTTCCACCTATTAGCTTACGTCACTCGTGACATCGTCTGCTGAACAGGAGGGTGGGGTTGAATCTTGCTCAGTTTGGCTGTATGCTTCCATTCCCAGAATTTCCTAGCTTTGGGATTTCACCTGCCATGATTCTGCTCTCAGGTGTTTGGTTCCACTCACCTGTCAAACAAAGGCAGCAAGGGGTGGACAGAACATAACAATCTGGCCCTCGGGGCTAGAAAGCTTCCCCAATCCTGGCATAAAGGAAAGGGGAATCGGTGAAAAGTGCCACCTCCTTCCATCAGAGGGACCCTGGAGTGGATCAAGGGACTTTCTGCAAATGAGAAGTAGAAGATAATTGGTTTAATCCAAGTTATATTTTGGAGTCTATATATAGCTAATGACTTGGATTAGATATTAGAACAGTCTTTAAATCAAGACTACACATTAACAGTTTTAGAAGGATTTCAAAGAATTCTTGCAACTATTACCTTCAGAGAGCTAGAGGTTTCATTTATTACTCTGGAGTTAATACAACATTTCAGTAAGTAATAATTCATTATGATGAATGCTTGTATGTCAGAAGAAAATCTAATAATCTAGTAACTTTGCTAAAATGCCAGATTACCCAAAATGATTGATGTCAGTGTACTATAGTGGGTAAGACTTATCTACAGAATGAACTATTACAGCAATCATTAGACGCCACCTCACCAATTAAACAGTATATAAATGAATAAAGTAATAATAGTGATGATGATGATGATGATGATGGAACATATTTTCTAATTTATATTTTTGAAAAAACATAGTTTTCATTTTACGGGAACCTATCTCCAAGGAAGACGCTATACCGCACTCTTTCTGATGAGAGCATATGTAGCAATCGGAGAGGATCTTCATATGCTAGCTCGCGGAGCTCAATGCTAGACCAAGCTTTGCCAAATGATATTTTGTTCAGTACTACACCACCATATCACAGCACCTTACCTCCTAGAACAAGCTTAACCACTGGTACTGGACACCTACGACGTAAGTGTGTGTTAAACACTGTCTCATTTGATACTGTGCAATTGAAGGTAGATCTTCTAAACAGAATGTAGGAACCAAATTGAACCATTAGTTCCTCTAGTTCAGTACTGACCAGGAGCAGTTCAGAGTTGTTCACCTGGGATAAGTTCTCCGGGTTTCTTTCCCAGCCCTACCTGAAGATGGCAGAGCTTGAACTTGGGGCATTGTGTATGGACACCAGTCCAATGCCAGTTCCCAAAATCCCTCTGGGAAGGGGCCTCAGCTACAAAAGATGGCAAGAGTGGTCAGGTGGTTTCACTCAGACTGTTTTCACATTATTGCTTTGATACTTCTTTCTGCTCCTCTATTCAGTCTGTCATCTTTATTCTTAATTCTGTTATCTGCGAGGTAATTACAATGGATTGTGCTTTTTGCTAATCAAATCATCTAATAGGGGAGCGTGGAATACGGCTTGAAAAAGATACTATGAATCTTAATCATGTCTAACAGTAACTGAGATTCCTATCATAAACAAGATTTAAATCCCAGGTTTGAATCTTGTTTGCAACCAAAGTTTAGGAGACTAATTAGTCTTAAGAAATAAATTATGCTGGTTCAGACATAACCCATAACCGTGGTTAGTTCAATCAAGGGTAGGGGAAGGAGCACACATACCTGGTCCAGGCTGAGATCACTGCCATCAGCACCAGGGAAGTTTATCTCCACAGGGAGGACAGCAGTAAAACAAAAATCTACATCTCCCAACACCAGAAGGGCAAGTCTTCCATTCAGAAGACCTCACAACACCCAGAGTGGGGCAACAAACTTTGGCTCTCTCACATTTCCTGGAACTGGTGCAGCTTCTCACACAAAAACCAAGGAACTCGAGCAGCAAGTAATGCCTACCCAAATAATGCCCACCCAATATTTTACCATTGTTAGAGATCAGGACCAGTAAGCAGATGGGTTTGTGAAAAAATACAGTTTGGGTCAGATAAAATATTGAGGGGGGGGAGCAAGTAAGCCCTGCTGCACATAATTGATCACAAGACATATACGCTGTTTTAATGGCAATGCCCAACAACTTTAGGGGCCCTTGGCCCCCTCAAATATTTTATTGGAGCTGAAGAGACCTCAACCCCTAGGAGTTGGCTCCTATGGTTAGGGTTGGTTCATCAAAGCTGGGATTGCTATTTGGAGGGATGGAAGCTAGAAGTAAGGTTTTCCAAACAAGATTTTGAAACTATCAGCATAAACTAAAATATTGTCTCATTCATATCCAACTGATCACTAGGAAGCTTGTTCAGTCTTAGGTAAGGATCAGGCTGCTGCCACTTAGCTGTTCAAACTCCTTCCAATTACATATCAAACAAGTTCCATCTCTGTTGTAGTTTTGGTGCCTATTGAAAGCCTTCCTTTTTCAAGAAGCCTTTTAAGAGTGGCAATTTTTGTCCCAGTCGGTATCTGTGTTGGATTTGAAATTGTTTTTGTATGTTTTAATTGATCACTTTAAAATATACAATGAGAAGTGATTCATTAACGAAAAACATTTATTTTAGAGTGGTAACCATTAGCTAAATACACTTTGTAGCATATTGATGGCCTGATACTGTGTGTACATATTTTCTGGTTTTGGACCAGTCATAGCCCTGCTTTCAGGTCAAACACTCCCAAAGTAGTTCACATTGTATTAAAAGCATAACATTTAGGATGACCTAATTAAAAACTATAAAATACTATGGCATATACACAGTCCATAAAAAATAAAACATTTTAAATATTGTAATTATTCATTTTCTAACCTGTTGAAACGTTGTCCTGAAGATAGCTTCTGATTCTGCTTCTTAATTTAGATGAGTTTTGGTTCTCAGACGGGTCTTTATCTGACAAATCAAGATTCAATGATCCTGGGTTGATGCCCCTTCCAGATACAGCAACAGGATTAGACTGGACTCACCTTGTAGATGCTGCACAAGCATTTGAAGGTACTGTAAGAATTTCTGCAACCGCTGCACATGTAGTTAGTAGAAATTAAAGTCCTATGCTTGTTGTAACATGATTCATTACCCCTAGTTATTGGCAGTCCTGCACATGCACTCTTGACTTATCTGTTTTTAGCCATTCAGTGATCAGTCACTTCCATTTGATAGATGAGCCCCAAGAACTTTGTTGGTGGACCATCAGGTCATTTTGCACAATAGGCTAAGACCAAAGGTGGCATAAGGAGTGCCAGAAAGAAAACAGCATAGGCTGACATCCTGAATTACTGAGTTTTCTTAGGGCAGTTTTTTTCTACATATAGCCACTAGTTCATATTATAAATATCTTAAGTATCAGACAAAGTCCTGGCTAAAGAGGAACATTTTCGCCGGGCGTCTAAATGTGTAAAATGAAGGCGCCAGCCAAACCTCCCTGGGGAGAGCATTCCACAAGCAGGGAGCCACTGTAAAAAGGCTAATAATAATAATAATAATAATAATAATAATAATAATAATTTATTATTTACACACCGCCCATCTGGCTGGGTTTCCCCAGCCACTCTGGGTGGCCTCCAACCAAATATTAAAAACAATACAACTTCAGACATTAAAAACTTCCCTAAACAGGGCCGGCTTCAGTTGTCTTTTAAAAGTAAAATAGTCTCATCTCATATCATGTTGCTACCCTCCAAACCTCTTGTGGAGGAAGCACACAAGAAGGGCCTCAGAGGATGATTTCAGGGTGTGAGTAGGTTCATATGGAGAGAGGTGGTCCTTGAGGTATTGTGGTCCTGAGCCATTTAACACTTTAGAAGTCAAAACCAGCACTTTGAATTGGGCCCAGCAACTAATTGGTATCAAGTGCAGTCAGAGCAGGATCGGTGTAATATATTCAAACAGTCTTGCTCCGGTGAGCAACCTGGCCCCTGAATTCTGCACTAGCTGAATTTATCAAACTGCCTACAGAGGCAGGCCTACATAATGCAATAATCTAACCTAGAGGTTACCAAAGCATATATGGCATAAGTTAGGCTGTCCCTATCAGTGCTTTTTTCCTAGTAAAATAGGTGCCGGCACTCAACATGAAGTTGTTACAGTAAGTGCCACACTTTATAACAACAACAAAAGAGGTGCTGATGCTGCATACCCTTGAGTGCCCCTGAAAAAAGCACTGGTCCCTGCCCAAATAAGGGTGCAGCTGGGCCACCACCCAAAAGTGATGGAAGGCACTCTGTGCCACTGAGGCCACCTGAGCTTGAAGTAACAGCAAAGGATCCAGGAGTACCCCCAAGCTATGTATTCACTCATTCAGAGTGTAGCCCCATCAAAGTTATTTACACAAAGACTTTTCTGCCCCAGTGTTGCTTCCTTCAACCCCTGCCACCTCCAGAATATTTTCAGAAGTTTGGTAGACCCTCCCAAATGTTGTAGACTGTAGCATGCGAAACTGTAATTGGGTGTCGGGGAATTGCCAAACTTGGTGGAGGTTATTTGAACAAGTGGAGCTCAGCTCATGCAAGAGGACTTCCTTTTCTACCCCCCCTCCCAATCCTCCATTTTATCCTCATAACAACTATGTGAAATAGATTAGAGTGAGAGACAGTAATTGGCCCAAAGGTACTCCCCCACCCTGAGTGAGGTTCAAAGCTGAGTAGAGATTTGAATCTGGATTTCTCCAGCCCTTATTTTACTCATATTCAAAATGTTGGAGATAAAAGACTTTTCTGATTCCTTCAGACAACTGTAGTAGTTATTGCCACTGCTGTTTTTCATGGATGCAATACCATAAATAAACCTGTGCAGTTTAGTACATAATGGAAATTAAAAAAAACTCTACTGTGTTTCATAGTGTGTGTTTGGAAATCCGCTTGAGCTTCAATGTAGCTAAGACTGCAATCTTATGCATAGTTACAAGTGAGTAAATACCACTGAACAGTTAGTAAACATACAAAGGATTGCTTTGATAGTATGTTTAGAATTGTAGTGTAAACATTGGAAACAATTATGAATGAATAGCTTTAGTAAAAAGAACCTGGGGAAAGAAAATAGATGTATCTTTTTTAAAGAATAAGAATAATAAAGTTGATCGTTAAAGGATGTATATATACTATTGAAAGCCGGATTCTAAGTCATCATGCATATGGAACACATGCTTATTCTTTGTTAGAACTTTTTAACACTTCCATCTTCAAAGGACCTCAGGGCAGTATACAAAGGTTTTCTCCCAATTTTCTTTCTACAAGGAACCCGTGGCGGGGGCGGGGGGGCGGGGAGGGAGTTAGGCTGTCAGAGACTGTGGCTAGCCCAATGTTCAGGGATTGGAACCCAGGTTTTCAAAGGTTCACACTATTCACTACATCACAATAGCTCTGGTTTATGGTTGCCACCTCAACATCAGAAGACCTGTTATCCTAGCAAAGCATTAAAACTGTGCCAGAACACATGTTTAAGAACAGGATGTTACATTGCTAGAGCACTGCATTAATAAAAACAAAAAATCAAAGTTAGGACTAAACTTTACAGAGCATGTTAGCCGAAACAGTTTGACAAAGACAATGGATCTACTATAGGTGTACTTCATTTAACTTGAAGCTAACCTCTGTTATAATGATTGACATAAATGTGATCTAACAGCTGGTTTCTGAACTTTTATTTTGTAGACCTTCAAATGTCTTCGCATAAATTTTCATTCTTTGCTTCTTCCAGTTTGTAACAGTGATCAGCACATCTCTGCTTGCATAGCTGACTACTGTTTTCAGCAGTTATATTTCTTTGCAGAATCAGTATTCCTGTTCTAGGTATAACAAAGGTATCTGTTAATACCATACTTTTAAAAAAAAATGGCTGGCATAATTCAGATCTCTATTTATATGCTGAAGGACAGAATAGAGGCCTCTGCTCACAAACAGGATCCAAGGGCCTGGTGTACATGTTGTTAATCAGAAGGATTATTGTTCATGTCTAATGTTGGTTCATTCAGTTCCCTTCTGGATTTCAGATTCCTGATATGTTATGCGTTCCCATGATTTCATTCTCTTTGAGAGAGACAGAATGAACATCTTAGATCTGTATTGCCTTTGTCAGAGATGGAATCCATCTGCAATAGCTCTTTCTTCTTGGATAAGCTATTACATTTAAAAAGCCATAACATCAGTAATTGTATTCTGTCTTCAAAAGCAGCCGGTATTCAGTTCTTCAGAGGAAATTTGCAAGATTGCAAGTCAAAAATTATTATGTTCCTTGTTCTTCTCTGTGTCTGACATTTTTAGGCCTTGAGACACTCTGAGAAAGATGTTTGTATTTTGGCCATATTAAGAACATAAGAAGAGCCCCGTTGACTGCCCTGTCTAACATTTTTTAATCAATCTTGCCAAAATTTAATATCTCCAGAATTTAATATCACCCTTTGCTCATTTCTTCTCTAATATTTACTTTTGCTACTTCTGGTTGTGCCAGTGATAGTCTGCAGATGTATCATCTGTTTGTATTTTTATACTTTTCCTCTTCGTAGATCAAACAAAAGTGTTAAAGGTTGGCTGCTAGCACTTTCAACAGTCCTTGACACTGGACATCTACTATTCAAAAGTCTGTAGAGGAAAAAGAAAGCATATACTAGGAATATACAGTATTTTACATGCAGCCTGGTAAAATTACATTTACAGTCAAGCATATCTGAAGGTTCCCATGCATCATGCTATCTTGCCAAGAAAGCGAAAGAAAAAGACTATCTAGCATTCAAATTTTGCATATGTTTATGAACTGCTGTGTCTCCTCTATCATTTCCCATCATCTGCTAGGGAACATTTTTAGGAAAAGATTCAAATATTTACTTTTATTTCATAATTAAAAGATTGACATGAAAAGGGAAAGTGATAACTAGGCCTCAAGCTGCAATTTTATTTTTGTCCCATAATGCTTACAGTGCATAATAACGAATATGGATAGTTTGTCTTTTGGAAAGAGGAAATCCTGATAGCTATTATGCTGCCATTAATACTGAAAAGTAAAATCGTTTTTTTGACTTAGCACATGTAGCAGTGGGGTGAGTTGATGAGGAAAACTACTGTTTTGAGAAAATCAGCAAAGATCCCACAATAGGAGTTGATGTTAAGTAATATTCCATAACTGTTGTGTCTCATAAGGATTGCAACTATATGATTCCAAAGTTAGCTCAGTGGACTTTGTTGTTCATAGGAGCATTCTAAATCTTATTTCAGATTTTGACTCTGACGAAGAACTTGGGCCAGTCTGTCATCACACTCCGTTTCTAGGTGATGGTCTGGGGTTGGCTGCTGAATCTTATAAAAAAAACCTATCTTTATGCTTTTATATGTTTGCACGGTTGCATGATTATATGCAAGCATTGGGGCTTTGCGAGATGTGAGGGGAAGGCATGTTATGGTCAGGGCCAGCAGAAGTCTGTGGACCAGAGAAATCTGAGTACAGTCTATATATAAATGAATGATCTCTGTTGTTGCAGCATAAACCGTTTGCATGGGGGGGAAACCTCAAAGCGTGATTTACTCACGTTCTATACCAGTTTGTGTGTGGCATACTCATTTTCTTTTAGAACTGGGTATATTTTTGTATGCCATACTGCATGTCCTTCAGTAAAGAAACTTGGTTCCCAAATAAGGCAAGCATGTATTCTGCAAGTCCTAGGGTAAAGATTTTATTCCAGAATCCTAAAAGGAAGCAGCAGACATTATATATGTGGAAGATTGGTAAATGTATGGCGATAGTCATAATGGTAGCATTTGCATATTATTCTGTTCAGGTAGAATAACTGTGCCTTGCTATACTGCATTCCATAACTTTTTATGGAATTATGTATCTTCCTCTGTCCCATTAAGTGCCTGCATTTGCTATTACAGTAGTTTGCTTGAAATTGGTCTTGGTCTCAGATTTTCTGTACATTTCTGTTGAAATAACTTAGTGAAAACAAACCTGTCTTGTTTTGTTGATATATGCAAAGCTGAGGCTATAGTGGTCTTGCTATCAGATGCTTTATGTTGGAAATTCAGGGGGAATTGGGGGGCGGATTCCCTGTAATATATACACTTGTTTCTTGCCTGTAGCTGAATTGGATAAAAGAACACCGGTTGTTTAAGCTGAGAGTATTTTTATACAGTCATTTCATTTTAGATGTTTATTTATTTATTTCCCTTCCAGATCAAAGGGTTGCATCTTTTTGCACCTTGAATGACATGCAGCATGTGCAAAGCTTGGAGAGTAATCAAGCCTTGGGCGCAAGTCCAACAAATGGAAAGGACTTCATTGACACTACTGGGTATGTAAACCTTGCCTCTTTTCTTTGAGGGGAAACATGATTGAACAAATTCCTGAAAACATTCCTCCTGGAATGAATAGAGAGGCAGAATGATAGATAGGGTTATATACAGGGGGTGGGGGTATTTGGCTTGGAACATCTTCAAGGACTTGGATAGGGGATTGTCTTACCTCAGTACTCGAGATAGATATTGTGCTTCAGCTCAGAGGTTGAGTCTCAACTCACTTCAGATTCTGAAGTCATAGGCTCCCCATCGGCTAAAATGAAAAAACAAAAAGAGGTGGGGAAAATACTTGAGGAAGGCTGAGAAGGAGTTGCTAGCCTAGAAAGCAGAAAGGAGAGAGAAGGAAACATGTATCTAAAAGGCCTGTTCTCTGCCTGCCAGGCAAAAGTGAGAAGTCTTTAACCTCAGCTCACATCTCACAGGGAAAGGGGGGGAGGAATCCCTTTTGCAGGTTGAGCCTTCCTTAAGAGGTTCTTTCCCCACTCCTCCTGGGAGGTGCGACTTCGCGTAGCAATGCAATTTAAAAAATCAGGTCGTCTTTCTTTTGTGGCACACAACTTTCCATAGGGAACAGGCACCTGTTATGAAAGCAAGCAGACCTGTTTCTCCCCCCCCCCCCCGCTGCTTTCTTTAGCTATGTGTGCCTGTTCCCAAGAAATAAACTGAGCAGGATTTAACTTCTGCCTGTCAGCTGTTAAGCAGAGGTAGAATTCTGCTGCTTTGGCTGCAGTCACCTGTTTCCTGCTGGGGACAAGCACCTGCAACATTGCAGAATTGAGTCCTAGCCATCAGTTGATGTCATAAATGACATCAGCTGCTTGACAGTTCGGAATGGTTTGGGAGAAATGGCTTTGTGGGCTGGAGGTTCCCCATCCTTGCACTAACATCTCCTGGTAAGGAGCACAGGACTGAGAGAACAGGGTGTGTGTGTGTGTGTGTGTGTGTGTGTGTGTGTGTGTAGATATATTGTATGACTTCCCCAGACCTTGTGTTTCTTGAGTCCTTACCAGTTGGACTGGGAGCTGTGGTTGTTTGCAGGATAGTTGGGAAGTGACTGGCTGGATAGTTGTTTTCTGCTACTGTGTTTATTGCTACTAAGAGTTGTGTGGGAGGGCCTGGCTAGTCTAAGGATTTTATAAAACAGCTGTTGCTGTCACTTTGGGGTTGGTGAAAAGGAGCCACCCTATTTGATTTTTGGTGCGTGCGTTTCAGTCTCTGCAAAAATTAATGGTATGGTGGTGCTGAGATATTATTGTTTGTATTGTCTTTTCCCCCATACTTATATGTTAGTGATCCCAGGACTGGTCAGGGTGTAAGACTCACCCAGTCCTGTGTGTTTGGTACCCATGAGTGAGAGGCAGGGGGAATTTGATCATTTCCCAGGTAAGAACAGTGTGGTTGCTTAAGCAAATTAATTAGCATCTGTCTAATTATTATTGCTGGTGTTAAGATTCTTGTGATAGCCTAGGGTGGTTGTGTATTGTGGCAGGAGGTGCTTAAAGATGTGTGTGGGAAGGAAATAGGATGAAGAGGGTTGGGGGAGATTGGGGGGAGTAGAAGGCATGGCTCGAGAGGAGTCAGTTCAAGGGGGTTCACATATGATTGCTTAATGTCTTCCACTTGGCTCCACTCCAATAGCCTAGTGTTGTTGTTGTTGTTAAACTCCATGTATATATAGATTTAATTTAATAATAATAAGAAGAAGAAGAAGAAGAAGAAGAAGAAGAAGAAGAAAACTTTTGCTGTCTCTATAAAAAAACCCCAGTTGTGTAGTTTGGAGGTGCTCCTGGATCTAACTTTATCACTTGAGGTTCAGGTACCTTTAGTGGATAGGAGTTCCTTTTACCACATTTGGCTAGTGCACCAGCTGCAGCCATTTTGGACAGAGATAGCCTGGATACAAAGATTCATTCATTGGTAACCTCAAGTGTTTCAGTGGTTGCAATGCACTCTGCACCAGGCTGCCCTTGTGCCTGGTTCAGAAGCTCCAGCTAATTCAAATTTCTGTGGCTAGACTGTTGGTAGGTACAGACTACTACCAGCACATAACTTCAGTTCTGAAAAGCTTGAACTGGCTGCCCACATATTACCAGGCCAGGTTCAAGTTTCTTGTATTAATTTACAAGGCTCTTAACAACCTGGGTCTAGAATATATTAAGGACTGATCTCCTATATCCCAGTCCAATCAGTGATCTTAGGGAGAGTCCCTGTTGGCAGTCACCCATGGCTCAGCATGGCCCATAACTACTAGAAGCCATGTGTTCAGTGTAGTGGGCCCAAACCTTTGGAAATCTCTTCCACCTGAGATTAGACAGGCACCTTCATTTGCTGAACTTCAGGTGCATGCCTAAGACTTCCTTGTTCCAGCATGTATTTTGAGGTAGTGCTCAGTTTTATGATACGTTTTTATTATCCCATTTTTTGTGGATTGCGTTTATGTACACCTCATAAGAAATGCTTTAATAAATAAAAATTAAAACAGGCATTAAAAACCCCTCATAAAATGTAGACACAACCCTCCAATTCCAGTGCACTTGAGGAGGAGACGATTGTAATTCTTGGCCTGTTACCTGCTTCTATAATAGAACGTATTTTGTATGAATAATTTGTACAGATCCATGTAGGAACAGAGGCATGATGTATCTTATGGGTTGTAATGGAAGAGTCTAAAACTGGCAGGGATCATCGGGTAGGGCAGGGATGGGGAACATGACTTTAGATTCTGTCAGTGCCAGTGAGCATGGCTAATGGTTAGGGATGATGGGAGTTCCAACCCAAATTTTTTTGAAGGACCACACATTCCCCCATCTCTGGGGCAGGGCTTATGGGTTTTATTAAGCCCCTTCTAATTATCTTCCCCCATCATTTGAGCACTGCCTTAAATTACATTTCAGCTTTGCAGTTCAATTGTACAACATTTCACTACTAAAAACTCTAGGCATTTAGTAGAACAGAGCATAAAATAATCACTTGACACAAAGATTAAGGTTTGTGAGGGACTTCTTTACATTTCTGAAGTTTCAGATTTCTGGTAGGGGGAAGAGGGAGGTTAATGGGAGCGATGGTGGAGAGGTTCACTGCCCAGTTGTATTCAACCTTAGTGCAGCTTAGGCATTTTAATAGTAAATGACAAGACAAACAACGTAACCCCACAATCTAGTTGCCCTAGAGGAATAAAAATCCAAAGGGAGTTTGCATGCAATGGTAATTTGGCTCATTATATCACTGTTCAGTGATCCTCCCTGCCTCATGAGTTGCCACAACAACTGTATTTTTCTGCCTGCTGCATTAAGATTATAAGAAAGATTGCCCAAAAATTGCTGCAATAGAATTAATAGAATCCATATTTTAAATTTATCATATTGCTCATTTGAAGTCTGTTAAAATTTTAATCAGCTCTCATACCTTTCCCAATATCTGTCAGCTTTTTTAAAAGACCAGGAGCTGCCTCAGATATTACTGGAGTGTTCTGGCTGCCACCAAAACAAACAACACACACATCTTACTGCAGGGGAAGCCATTTATATGAAGCAGCTATTCTATTTTAATAGTTGTTTAGCTGTCATTTAAAATACAATATTGTATCTCCATGGTGGCTTAATAATTTTTTTTAAAAAAAGATTCAAATCTTATGAGATATAAACAGCACAGCCCTAGTTCTAATAATAGCACTAAAAACATTTCATATCAATATATCTTAGCATCCATAGCAATATAAAACCCTCTCCAGAATGCACCAGTGACTTGGCCAGAGGGAGATCAGGTAAGAGGTGCAGCCCTACTGTGCCATCCACTACTAAGATAAGAATTGTATCTACTAAAGTTTTGTAGTGTCTGTTTAGATTTTCAGTTTCAAAATGTGGAAAGAGGCATTGAAACAAAGTCTTTATCTTAAATAAGATGTCACTTTTCTTGATATCTTTTCTTTATTTTATTTTTTTAGTTAGCAGTGTTGTAATACAACTTGACATATTTGCATAATAATTCAATGAGAACCAGTGTGCTAGAATCTCATTTTCCTTCCTTTAGAAGCAAGAAAATTCATGATGACAGTTGTTTTCTGAACCGTTTTAAGATAATTTTTTCAACCTGTAGCATTACCTGCTTTAGTTGATTTTGTCAAGAACAATGAACAGTTTTGTTTTGCCTCCTATTTTACTTGCAGATATAGTCTTGTATTTCATCTGACTGCGCTTTTTCTATTAATGTGTCGGGCTTCTGTGGGCAGGGATACAAAAACAGCCACAGTCACTGGGATGTTCAGATCATGACTTTCATTAGGGTTTAAGTATTACAGTACACTCTAATAGTTAACTCCAAGAGTGTTAGAGATACATCTCCCTGGTCATTTAGGCAGCCTCCTTAGGGTTTTAGACATTCTCCCAATATTTGTGGATCCACTCAAAAGCACTTTGGTATCTAGTTAATACCACACAGTTCCTTGTGTGGCAGCTTTACCTCTCTCTTTCCGGCATGCAAAAGGGGGGGGGGCTATTAATTTTTCCTTCTAGGACTGACCCACCTCCCTGGGGGCTGAGGCAAAGGAGTCCACTGAGTGAGGGTCTGTGTCAGTGCTCAAGCATTTCAGGGACTCGGCAGGGCAGTTCACTAGGCCCCCAAGATCCTCCACCCTCCTTCCACTCACCTAACCAGCCATGGGTATGGTAAAGCATAGCCTGCATCCTTATGCCTCTCCCCATTTGTCAACTAATCACTCCAGCCTCCTAGCATTTTTCTCCCGGCTTGCTTGTTGTTCAGCCAAGACTCCTCCTACCAGCCTCCTTCCTTTCACCTGAGCTATGAGGAGTTCTGAAACCCCAAGGACAACAGATATGTCTTCTCCCAACAGGAGGAGAAGCTTGTCTGTCTTGTCTGCTGGCAAGCCTTGTTGACTGGGGCCCTAATTCTGCCTCTGAGCAGGTGGGAAACACAGGGTGCAGTTGATCCTTCACATATAGATTTAATATTACTTAATTATTATGATAGTGTATTCATAAGGACTTAATGACTATGCATTTCTAATGATAGATCATAATTACGACCAGGTTAGAGCAATGGCCTGTATTGTTGTTAGTGTTCCTTGTGACAAGCACTTTGCACTCATCACAATGCCTAGCAGTAAGATTTACTTGCTCCTTGAGAATGATACCATAATCATATCTGTTGGTGTTTGATCTCAGTTTGTGTCAATCTTGAGTGCGCTTGAACCTGAACCAGCTTTTATATGTGCTTTTTGCACTGATTATAACCGTTATGCATTATCATCTGCACGGGGAACTATTTTACTTGGGTGTGGGTAGGACATCTTGAAATAATTCAAAACTAAGTGCAATTTAATTTTGTAGGGAGGACAGCCCTACTACATTGACTGGAAAAGTAAACCAGCTGGAAGTGATCCTCCGACAGTTGCAAACTGATCTTCGGAAGGTAAAAATGTTTAGCAGAATAAAATGTCATTGGGTTTATCTATCACTGTGTAAGCAGCTCACACAGTGGGATTTCTCCTTTCTCTCCTTCCCCTGTGCACCCCCCCCCAAAATCTGCTCTGCGTGTCCTCTCTGGGCCAAATTTTGAGAAAAGGCCTTAAAAATGTTTTTGAGCAATCTAGCCCCAAACTCAAATCAAGAATCCCAGCAGCTGCATTTAATAAGAAGAATAAGAATAAGAATTTTATTATTTATACCCTGCCCATCTGACTGGGTTTCCCCAGCTACTCTGGGCTGCTTACAGCATATCTTAAAACATAATGAAAACATCAAGCATTAAAAACCTCCCTATATTTAGCCTTTAAAAATGTAGAAAGTCCAATTAGTCTCCTGGCTAATCTAGTTGCTTCCTCAGGAATAGATTCAGTATTTCTGGCATAATAAGCTTGGGTAGCACTTCCTGTTCTCTAGTTCAGATTCCTTATAACCTGGATGATAAATTATACTAAGAGATAAGCTAATATTTGGCCTATGTTTAACATGGTATAGTAAGTAATACAGGCTGCATTTTCTGATCTACAAATTTGTGGGCCCTTCCCCCCCCCTTTTTTTTTTAGTTCACAGCTATTTTCTGTAATAAAAATAGTTGTGTCAAGTTTGTTTAAATCATAGGTTTTAATAATGAAAATAATTCTACTTTTTTCCAACTGTATACTCAGAAATAGGAATTTTCCTTTGCATATCCTTTGACTGTATCACCATTTTTCTTCATGAATACTTCTTCTATTATGATAGCAGAATTAAGGGGGAAATGCTTCAGCATGCGTAAGGTCTGAAGGCACTGATGTACTTGTTTACCACACAAATGACAAATTAGATTGCTTTCAAATATTACAGGAGGGTCAATACTACTTTGACTTCCTTGCAGTTGCCTTCTTACATAAGACTTGCTTTCAAAAATATATTTTTTGCAAACATCTGCAAGGAATTATTTCATAACCTCTAAAGAAATAGCATATGGCTGCTTTTGCAGAAGTTCTCTGAAAGGAAGCACTTATTGTTATGTTTAGAAAACTTTTTAAATTGAGCAACCTATCCTCAAATCTAAGGTTCACATTACATGTGGCAGCAGTATAGCCCCTTGATTAAAGCTGGATCTCACCCCCTCTTACACGAGGGAGTAAAAGAGAATCTGGGTGTCTGGGATTGGGGGTTTCCTGGAAAAGAAGTGGTCCATGGATGGGAGTGCTACCTCACCACTTACATCTGGTAGCCATCCGCCTGAAAAGCACGTGAGGAGACACTATGGGGCTTTAAGCTAGAAATGGGTTTAGTTTTGTGTGCTCTTTTTAGTCTAAAAATCATAACCCCACAAACATTTCATTCAAGCCCAGGTCTGACAAACTGGGTACAAAGCTGTGAACTGGTCGATTTCATCTAGCTTTAGCACAAGAGCAATTTTTGCATCAGGGTTTCCAAACAGCTACTTCTTCTTGACTATGGTTGTTAGGTCATATCTACATCATACATTTCAAATGCATGGCTTTCCCCAAAAAATCCTGGGAACTGTAGTTTAAGGGAACGGAATCATATAGCTTTGTGAGGAGTAAATTACAGTTCCCACAATTTTTTTGGGGGGGGGAGCAATATGTTTTAAATGTATAGATGTGACTTTAATAGCCTCTCATAGAATTGTAGAGTTGGAAGGGACCCTGGGGGGTCACCCAGTCCAACCCCCTGAAATCCAGGAATCTCAACCAAAGCAACCATGACAGATGGCCATCCAACCTCTGCTTAAAACCCTCCAATGACTCTCAAAGTCAATAAAATATTAATGCCCCCAAATAACATCTTTTATAATAGGTACTAAGGTTGGCGGCTTGTAGTACTGAGTGTTCTACATTTCTGTACAGTAAGCTAGAACTGCATATAATGACCCAGTATCCCATTATAGTGTAATTGCTCCGCTCTCATCCAGAGCAGTGAAACGTATAGTATGAATTAAGCAGTGCAATGGTGGTTTGCACATACTGTACTGTGATTCCCTGTAGCTTTCTCTTACCCATTTGCCAACACTTGGCTCCCCCGCCCCCCCTGTGATTTTTGCTTATAGAGCACACAGTCTTTAAACATTGGCGTTGTAACAGACCCTGTGTCTCTTGCTGATAAAAAAATAATGTTGATGCATTTGCATTGTACTTGGAAGCTGTTCCCAACTTCATGTGTCCAACATGTATTCTTTCCCCACTGTTCATTTTGGATGGCAGTGTTTAATACTCAGCGGGTAGAAACCACGCAGCTGGACATCTTGTTGCCTTCCATTTTGTTTAAAAGTACCTTTAAGTCTGTGTAGCTTTTTTCTTAATCTGATGTACAGCTCTAAAAATATTCCTTATCTTTTTGTGTAGTGATCTCTTTCTGAATATGATGAAGTGTGCTGAAATGTAGCCTAGTCCTACAGCTCTGCTGCAGAAACTTGGTTATACAATCTCATTTATCTTGTTTAGCCTGCAAGGCTATCTGATTTAGAACAACCGAGCAAGCAAATTTGGGAATTCAGCTTAGAGTTCCAGTGCTGTCATTGCAAAGAGGGAGCTAAAGAAAACAGAAGTCTGTTTACTCGCTCAGAAACACGAGCAACAAAAACACTGGCTATAAGTGTCATTCAACTCCTTTTTTCTGTTATCTAGGAAAAACAAGACAAAGCTGTTCTCCAAGCTGAAGTCCAACATTTGAGACAAGATAACATGAGACTTCAGGAAGAATCTCAAACAGCAGCTGCTCAACTAAGAAAATTTACAGAATGGTTTTTCAATACAATAGACAAGAAATCCTAATATCAAAGTCCCTGTAAAAGCACAGTTGAAGCCACATAACACCAGTAACTTTTGAAGTAGCCTAATATAATTTCACTGTGTCCACAATCCATTTTACATTTTCTGCTGTAATCTCTGCCCAGCCCCAGGCTACTGACAGTAAGAAATTATCTTCATATTCATCTGAAGAAAACAGAGAATGAATAGCAGACGTTTGTTTTTGTGAAGATGAATGTACAATTCCTGGTGTCATTTTAGACATTTTAGAGTATACTTCTGACTTGGGATTGCCTGAAGAAGAATAAATTGGGGTTTATCTTCGGTACTTCAGCTGAAGATGCTAAAGCAATTTATGGTAGCTTGGGTTTCAGTATTGTAAGATAAATAATAATAATAATAATAAACTAGACATATACTTTCATGTTTAAAGGTGCTCTATTTTTTGTATGTACAGTAGATATTTCCACAGTCACATTGTCATAGCAATAAGAATGGAAGTAGAATTGAATAGTCACAAAACTGTGTTTATAAAAATTAGCACTGAGGTGTTTAACACTAGTTTGGATGCAGATATATTAGGGGTTATTTATTTGCAGAAAAAATGGTGCCTGAATTTAAGCAGTGTTCTGATTTTTCTTAAAAAAATAAATACACATGCCTTGTAAATGGCTCACTTGAATCAGTTCACTCCAATGTCAGTTCCTTTTGTATAGTTCATGTTCAGCTAAGATTGTTCTAGAGAAACTAACTATTGAAACCATATGTGGTGCAAGCCAGCCAATCATTTGTATAATGCCAGATTTGTTTATCTTTGTACAGAAGCTTTGAGCGAGTGACTTATATTTAACACCTTTATTTAAGCTTATTTAACCTGTTAATTTTATAAAGCTTTTGTTTTATCTGCACTATGGTGGGGACAGTGGATTGCAAGCTACAATGTGTGTTTAGCTTGCCAAAATGGCACTGCAGAGTTCTAGAAAATTCTAACTATTGGATGCTGCTAGTACACAATTTGTGTAAGTATACTTTAACATTTTTAACTGTTTCATTTGAAATGAACATACATTTTGCTTTTTTAATAAATGTTAAAAATGTGAACCACAAGTAAGAACTCTCTGTTTATTAACAAAAGCTTCCGGGTTTGATAGATTCAATAAAGAAAGAACACAGTTAAAACATTTCGCTTGCACTCTGGTTCCAAATCCAAGAACTTGAGTAGCTACTGCTTCAATTCACTTTTACACTCCCCTTTTTAATTCATAGTGTGCAATTTAATAACAACTCTGGATCATATCTGTAAAATAGTCTGCAATCCCATACACACTTACACATTGAACATCACAAGACTTATGGTGCAATCCTATACATATTTACACAGAAATATTTGCTTCAAAATGTCTAGCTGTGCACTGAAATGCATGTTGGTAAAAAATGTTTGCAACGTCTTAAAAGGAGGTGGTCTCAATTACTTTAACATCTTAATTGCCATATTATAAAAAATAGGGATCACATTAGATACCACATTTTAAAAGTTTTGGACCATGAAACTGCTGGACTCCAATTCCCATCATCCCAGACCACTGTCTATGCTAGTTGGAAGTCCAGCAACATCTGGAGGCCCACAATCTTGGAAGTGTGCAAGAAAAAAAAACTTCATTGGCCCAACTTGCTTTGAAATACACTACAATGTGAACAATTAAACCAATTTCATAAAAGTGAGGCAAATCTTAAAACATTGAACTTTTTCATTGATGTTTTAATGATATAGGTAAAGGTAAAGGGACCCCTGAGGGACGCAGGTGGCGCTGTGGGTAAAACCGCAGTGCCTAGGACTTGCCAATCGTAAGGTTGGCGGTTCGAATCCCCGCGATGGGGTGAGCTCCCGTCTCTCGGTCCCTGCTCCTGCCCACCTAGCAGTTCAAAAGCACCCCTAAGTGCAAGTAGATAAATAGGTACCGCTCCAGCGGGAAGGTAAACAGCGTTTCCGTGTGCTGCGCTGGTACTGGCTCGCCAGAGCAGCTTCGTCACGCTGGCCACGTGACCCGGAAGTGTCTCCGGACAGCGCTGTCCCCCGGCCTCTTAAGTGAGATGGGCGCACAACCCTAGAGTCGGACACGACTGGCCCGTACGGGCAGGGGTACCTCTACCTTTAAAGAGACCCCTGACCATTAAGTCCAGTCGTGACTGACTCTGGGGTTGCAGCGCTCATCTCGCTTTATTGGCTGAAGGAGCCGGCGTACATGTGGCCAGCATGACTAAGCCGCTTCTGGCGAGCCAGAGCAGCACACGGAAACGCCGTTTACCTTCCCGCCGGAGCGGTACCTATTTATCTACTTGCACTTTGACGTGCTTTCACCCCGTTGCGGGGATTCGAACCGCCAACCTCCTGATCGGCAAGTCCTTGGCTCTGTGGTTTAACCCACAGCGCCACCCACGTCCCCTTTAATGATATAGCTCACTTGTTATACTTGTATACTTGTTTTTATAATATTACAGTATACAACTTGTTCATTGTTCTTCTATATAGTGCTCCTTTGAATGTCTTTGAGCAGTGAACGCTTTCCACGTATTGTTAAGGTTTCATCCTCCCTCACCTAACACATTTATTTTTTCTTGTTGGTGCTTTCCTTCATGGTTTCTCAGAAATGTCCGGTGACCAAGCTATCACGTAATTAAGTGGCTGCATGAAAACAGGTCTGAGTGAAATTATGTGAAGTGTAACAAAAATATTTTCTTTTAGTTGGTCAACCATGGTTAAAAACCATTAAGTGGTCAACAGGCTATAATGGTGCAGATGGAAGATTAATGCTGTGGCCAAGTGCCCAACACCACAATTTGTGATCAATTGTCGTTGTGGAAGGAACCGTATTGCAAAACTCTGCACTTTACAAGCACTGGCTTTGGTTTCTATAACTCTGAGCAATTGTTTGAAAAAGTCCCATTAATTTAAAGTAATTAAATGTGGCACTTGCACGTTCCACTAGAGCTTGGTTTCAAATAAAAGGCATTGGGTTAAACCCATCTGTCTAAAAGCCTTGCCAAATGTCAAGCTCTGCAGTTTAAAGAAACATCAAAACATGGTGCTAATCATCCTTAGAATTATGAGCAAATTTAAGTAGTTTCGAAAAGCAGACTTTCCCTGAACAAATAAATGATCATTTATATAAATAGTTTCCATATCTTTTTTAGAGAACGATTTAATTGAGGTGCAGTAACAGACACTGACTTATGTTTGCAGCTCTTGTGATAGGAACGATAATTTAGCTGCTTACTGGGATTTAGCAAGTAAGAATCTATCATTCCCCTTTATTATCAGTTGTTTCTTTTTAGCCAGAATTGAAATTTATGTTTCCCACTCCACATTTGCTATGTTTGTCATTCCTGTGGTGGCCCACTGTGGTTACTTATACACATGTTTTTACACATGAGTAGCAATAGATTTGAGATTAGGCTTTCTTCCTTTTATCTCTTAAGAATTGTGGAATGGAATCAATGAACATGCCTATTTTATGGCACATTTGCTAACTGCAGCATAAAGCAAAAACCCAAAGTTGAGAATCATAAGACTTCTGAAATTTAAATCTACATAAAAGAAAGTTACTGAAAATAGTGCTAACACCAGTGGGGGGAGGCACCTGTAGCTGTAGAAGTAAGACACAGGAATAGAGTTACCGGATTATGAGTGGTGTGGAGAAAATTGATATTAATTATTCCCTTTTTGTGTAATAGCAAAGCACCAGGTCACACAACAAAGTTGATTGCTAGACCAGATCCACGCAGCACATAATCAACTAATGGTATTGACTCACACAAAATGTGGTGATGACCACTCGCTTAGGTGGCTTTTAAAGAGGATCAGACGAAACTTGTAAAGGACAGGTCCATCAGTCATGCTATTAGTCATGCTAACGAATGAAGCTCCATGTTGAGAATCAGTATACAGTACCTCTGAGTAGCAGATGCTGCAACAAACAGGGAAAGGCTGTTGATTTCATTCCATTCCGTGAACTTACTGAGAGTGATCAGGTTGGTAGCTTTTGGAATGCTGGCCTAAATGGTCTAATCAATGATAGTTCTTATGTCATCTATCCACTATCAGTACTCTGGGTGGTCTACTGCTGGTTTTAATGAAGTATAATATGTACATTAGTAGACCTTTGTATTGTATAGGGGCCCTGTATCTTCAGTGACATCTTCAGTAAATCAATGATCAGCTGAGCAATAGTGAAAATAGAGAAGAGAATCAATCATAGATGAAATGGTGAATTATATCCAGATGCTCTCTTAGAAGTGAGGTCAAACAACTTGACAAAGAATGAGAAAGATAAAATTGAAGTCTGTCCTTATTAACCATGACCTTGGCAATCCATAGTCCGCTGGTTGATTGATTTTTGAAGTGAATGTGGTTTAAACCTTTTACTAAGCTCCAAATAATATTCTTCCCACACAAAACCCCCAATGCATTATGTGTGTCAATCTGTTTAAAGCTGGAGAGCCCCACATGCAGCAGGTTGTCAAACTGGATAGTTGAATTGTAGGCAGAAATTTGTGATACTTTGCCAACATTTTAATTCTTTTTATTAAGAAATGTATACCCTTTCCAATTATATGTGTGCAGGTGACAACATGACCAGCATCTCCTACTGCTGCCCTGCAGCGATTCTGAATACCTTGATTACCCCTTTGTAAGCCACAGTTCTTCTCTTGAAGAAAAGTGCTGAAAGATCAAGATGTCAGGAGCACAAACCTAGCTATTTCCACTGTCTCTCTTAAGAGTAGCAACAGAACAGTGCTTCAGGGCCTGCGAGTTCACTGATTTACTATCTGTTTGTGGGAAGGCAGGGTGGAAAGGCAGCCCAACATCTTGTAGAAAGGCATGGTTGGCAGTCAGCCCAAGGAACAACATCTTAATCACAACATGTGACTAACTAAGATACTAGACAGGTCTTCTGGAAAGGAATCCGAGGTGTTTGTGCTTCATTTCTGAAACCAAATGTTCTGTTTATATAAATGCTATCTTTTGTCTTGATCAGTTTGCTTCAAATGCCGTCACTGGAACCCAAATAAATTATGACTAATTGTGCAGGTGGCATCTTGCATATGTATTTAGTACATCCCTCTTCAGAAAAACAAACAGGATGTGTGTCCTTTTATGATGATTCCTGACACATCTGAAGATGTTTAATTGCCTAGGGCTTGCCGATTGGAAGGTTGGCGGTTCAAATCCCCGCGACGGGTGAGCTCCCATTGTTCATTCCCAGCTGCTGCCCACCAAGCAGTTCAAAAGCACGTCAAAGTGCAAGTAGATAAATAAGTACCGCTCCAGCGGGAAGGTAAACGGCGTTTCCGTGCGCTGCTCTGGTTCGCCAGAAGCGGCTTAGTCATGCTGGCCACATGACCTGGAAGCTGTCTGAGGACAAACGCTGGCTCCCTTGGCCTATAGAGTGAGATGAGCACACAACCCAAGAGTCGTCCATGACTGGACCTGACAGTCAGGGGTACGTTTACCTTTACCTTTAACAGTGGCCAAGGTCTTGTCACTGGGAGGTAAACATCAGGTGGTGTCTCCAACACAGGAGAGAAGGGGTTATGTTCCAAGCTGGGAAGCTACCTTATAGACAGTGCTTTTCTTCTAGAAAAAAATGCTACTGGTACTCACCATGAAGTTGTGACAGTGAGTGCCACACCTGACCAGTGCTTTTCTTGTAGGGAAAAAAGTGGTAGTACTGCGTACCCTTGAGTACCTCCAGGGGAAAAAAATCACTGCTTATAGATATGACCTCTATAATATAGAGGTAAGGCATCTAATTGATGCCCAGCCTTTCCCTGGAGGCAAGCTACATGCATAAGGAAGGTGTGAAGCAAGAAGCGGGAAGTGAGAGTGCTTGGCTGGGGAAGAAGGAAAAGGCATGTAGAGTCAAGAAAATGTAGAGAGAATAGGTGAATGTTGGGTGGGTAGCAGTCTGCCTGCTACCAAAGCACATCCACTTGTTAACCCAAACTGTGCTCGCAAGAAAAAGAAATGGGAGCCAAACGCAGCAGGAGCCAAACTACTTGGACATCTGATTCTCCAGGGAGGGCTACAGTGGCTTAAAGCAGAAGGC